TGACTACCTTTTTTTTTTACACTAAACTGGCTGCATATTTTTACTTAATGTAAAAGTCGCAAACTTCTTGTTCATCATTTTCTTTTCTTCAGTTATGGAAGAAGCAGTGTGTTACAGTGTATCATAAATTTCTTATTTGCCTTGTTTTTATAGTTCCTGGAAAAGCTTGATATAACCAAAACTTGGAGGATATGGGGTGTTTTAATGTATTAATTATTACTTTCTTTTAGTTAAGTTGAGTTGAGTCCAGAAGTGACATCACAGCACTCGGGACATTCACATGCATGCTCGGTCCTCATCTTCAGCAGCCAGAGCAGAATTCCAATACTGATGGTACCAGTCACAATCTGGTTAAAAGTCTGTCTTGCCTTTCCTCTGAGTGTAATCAGCCAGCCAGACCCCACGTGCCTCATCCTCTCCAGGCCATAATAATTTGTTCTCTACTTCCGTTACTTGTTCCCAAAGGGCCTTGACCACATCTACCTTGTCATGTATCGATTCACCACCCAGTGGTGCAAATCCAACCAATCTGTCTGCCTTTTAAAAAACAAAAACAAAAATTAAATGACCCATTTCCAGCCATTAGCACACTGGGTGCATTAGTTCCTAGATGCTTTTTTTTTCAACAAACCAGTCTGCATTTGAGAGTTAATGTGGTCAACATCAGACTAACTACCTTTACTTTCCAGGACATTTCCTAGCACACATTTTCAGTAGGCTGACTCAACATGAGAGCCAATGTTCATTAATAAAAATTTTACTCAAGTATAGATTTGAACCCTACACCTTTTGGCTGGCAGGCAAGTTTTAACATTTCTGCAGTGATTGACAGCACATGAGAAAAGGTTGTGGACAAACATGATTACTAACGCAATCTTACATGGATTATAAAAAGACAATGATCAATTCATAACTGACTTTACTGGTCAACTGCATGTGGTATATTGCACATTTTGTAAACTTTAATACTGCAAAACAAAGCAAATATAATTTTCATGGAACTTATACTTTACAAAAACCAGATAACTCAACCTACACTGAACAATAGCTACTGAAAAATGAATTTCAAATTTGTAACTCATTCCAAGTACAAGCATTGGAAATGAAATCTTTATGAAAGATTCTGGGTTTATCACACAGAGGCCACGACAAAAATGATGAAGTTGGCCATTTAATCACTCACGACACTGGCAACCATAAACTTCTTTTAACAACGGTGGAAAGACAAAAAATGCAATGATATGGACAAGTACAAGATCTACCGGCCTCTCAAAAACAGCACTACAGTTCTCTGCAGATGAGAAGAGGAGAAGAGGCAGACCAAGAAAGACCTGGATAGAGAATAGGGTTGAATGGACAGGACTCAGACTTGTAAACATGAAGTCCATTGTACCTGAGGACAGAGACTGAGGGAACTGATCAGACAGTCGACAGTGGCTGGTGACCTCATAATGAATGGTGTTATGGGACTTTGATGGTGATGCTGACGACACAATATTCTTAAAGTAGCATTGATCAAAATGAAAGAAAAAAGTAATCAAATTCTTGAGGATCTGAACATACACGGAGACAGGCTAATTGATCATATTATTTCTTGAGACTGAAATATTTCAGCCACACTAAATGTTATATTGGTAAGGAGATATTAGTAAAGAGGGTATGATTCCTGTAAGAAGAGGCAGGGGTTGATCAGCAGGATGACAGACACAGGATATGAAAGATATCAGGACATGGGAATTCATGAGGTAAAGAAAAAAAGGTAAAGTCGGGAGATGTGAACCAGCGTCATTGCACACGGTTATAAACCATAAGTGCTCTGCAACCAGTACGGACAGCTGATAAGAATTGTCCGCCTGTGTCGCCGTTCACACGTAACTCTGTAGCTACAGCGACGTTCCTCCATTTACCCCAGAGTGTCAACACTGGTACCCATTTCCTAGAGGCTGGGTGAACCCCGGGAACTGCCAGGTTTCAAACACCAACCATGGGATGCAGTGAGTCGCAGCTGGATTTAAAAGCAAGCCTCTTATCGACTGCGCTAACACGGCCCGTTCATGAGGTAAGAAAGGTGAAAGGAACTGAGTGACATTTCCACCAGGTGTTCAGCAAAGGACTTGTATATGATGACGATGATGATGATGATGAATGTGAACAGGACAGTCAAAGAAATTTTATAAATGTGCTATCCAGAAGCAATGATAAAGAAATTTCAAGTGTTTTATAAGTCAATCATGACAAGAAGTCACAGCCTTCAAGCTCAGGGTGTCGGAGAGACAAAAGTAAAAGCCTACAGAATTCAGAAGCAGTCACAGACTGCACTGCACTACCATCTCTCACTCACTCACTCACTCACTCACTCACTCACTCACTCACTCACTCACTCACTCAATCACTCACTCACTCACTCACTCACTCACTCACTCACTCACTCACTGACACAGACAGACTGGTTACAATTTGCAATTTACAATTACAATTCAACAAGAAACTGCTTACCATAGTTACCTTGATGATTGCATTCAACAATAAGAAACTGAAAACAATGTTTTCCATTTGTATTTTTAAATAATGTATGAACACGCCGGGCAGGTAGTTGATAGGGATTACGCCTTACTAGTTATTTACCACACACTGAATAGGCATTTACTAAAAGTGGCAGAAGCTGTGACAATTAAAATGGACTATTTCATAATGTCCATACATTTTTTTAAACGTGTATTAATTTGTAATTGCTGCGGTAAACATGTGCCTTGAATTTCTGGTGGTCAGATGTGCAATGTAGCTGGAGACATTGTGATTTGTTGTGTATTTGAGCAGAAAGGATTCAGTTTGTACGCTTCATTGTATGTTGATCTCACCACATACTTAAGCACCTGATGAGATAGGGCAATAAAGGCTAAGTAATAAATTGTGCATGGTGCTGTTTATGTCAGCATTAAATAAATAAGAACTTGAACAGATCACAAACTTTAAATACCCTGGCTCTATAATTAACAACAATGGAAGTTATGAAATATAAATAACAATGATGTTCTGTAAATTAATTACAAGAAATGCTTTTGTAGAAAGGAACTGGCCATCTATTTCATATCATAGCACTTGATGGTTCCCAATGGTATGCAGTACTGCCACCTTTTTTAAGGCATTTTTTTCATCACTACGGTAACAGATACTTTGTGCTGCACACCAGCACCTTTTACTGGACATCTTTTGGTGAGTACTGATGCCTTTTTTGCTAGAAAAAAAAGCAGGGACCTAGTATTTGTAAAGGTATTACTTTGTATGTTTTGTATAGAAGGATAAGGTCTGTTCAAATATACAGTTGCTGCATTTACACTGAATGTGTAAGCAGCCATGTTCATAGTGCAATGATTGTACTGAGCAATGTTCTAGCTTAGCTGAAATTGTAATCTATAATATGACCAGTCTTGTTCAGTTTGCAATTATTACATTTGAGAAATATTACTAGCTGGTGCCAATCTCAGAGTCAGCACAGTAACACAACATCCACTGCATAGCTACATTAATAAAGAAAAAGGCTGCAGGTTGGAAAAAAAATTGTGGATGGATCAGGTCAAGGACATATATTCAACAAGTATGTTCACTAGAGGATATAGAATGTGTTAAGGAATGGGTACAAGTGCCAACAGAGCACAGTACGTCCATTTCTGTTTGCATCTAACTGCATCGAAATTGTGCAAAATAAAGTTAAGCCACTATGGAGACAGAAGTTTAGGCCTTGATTTTTAAGAATTCTCTAGAAAGTGGTGCTGTCATTGACACATATGGGTTTGTCATTAGTATGTGAGAAGCTGGTGGGCTTTTGTGGCTCAGGTTGGAGGGTAAATTGTGAAGGAACAGTTAAGTGTTTTTGCATTGACTACCTGTAGTCTGACAATGGAGGTCATGGCAGTGATTTATTGGCACCTTTCTGTCTTTCCAGATGATAGTGTCATATTGCGCTATGGGGAGGCATTGTTGGACTACTGTTGTCGACATTTGTGTTTTGTCTGTTTCTTCTCAGACGCTCAGCTCTCATCCTTTCTGCAGTCATTTCTTCCTTCATTCTCATTACTTTCCTGATGTGGCCCCTCCAGACAACACTGCCCATGGCATTTTGTTCCCACGAGTCCACCTCAATGCCTGTATCATTCATGTCCCGCTTGCACACATCTTTATATTGTAGGGAGGTCAGCCTCAACATCTTCTACTCGTCTTTAGTTCATCATAAAGGATGTCCTCAGGGACTGCCATCCTCCATTCTGCAGGTGTGACCCAGCCACCTGAGCCTTCGTAGACTGAGCATTGTTGTAGTACCTGCTCTTTTCAATACCTCAGTGTTTGTGATCTTGTCCTGCCCCTTAATGGCAGTGACTAAAGCAATAATCTGGCTGAAAACACAAGAGCTTCACTCTGGCATGTTTTCTCAGTGACTCGATGAGTATGCTTAGGAAGACAGAGATGAGTTAGATGAGAAGGCAGGGGTTGGTGTCTATGAGGCAGTCATGGCTCTTAAAGATCTGTTTCATTTTCATGGCATGGCATGCAGGAGTACAAGGACATAAACAAGCTGATAGGCCTGCAGGGGAGGTTACTGCGGTTGGGATTGGGAGGGGGGGGGGGTGCGAAAGAGCCATGAACCAGGCTGATATACTGAATGCTCTAGAAGAAGTAAAACATCTGTGAGAACCAAGTTAGGATTGTTGTTAATGAGTGAATCCAAAGTGATTGACTGATGATGATTGGCAATTTTCTGTCTTTCCAGACAATAGTGTTATACTGCGCTACCAGGAGGCATGGGACTCGCAGCCCATGGCGATAGAAAGCGTGACTAGCAAGACCCGCCAGCATCAAGAAAAGTCTTCCACAATTGCAGCATGGGATATCAGGACCGTTGTTGTCAACATTTGTGTCATCCAAAGAACAGTAGCAATAATTAATAAATAATCAACAATATTAAACTTTATTGTTGCATAACAATATTGACAAATACAGTTTGTTCAGTGGCGAATTAAAAAGTTCAAGTGTAACTGTTCTGGAAGAATTATTGTTTCCAAAGCAACAGAGCTTGCATTAAAGGGGAATGTAACTGGATAGCTAAACTTGGTGTCCATGAGTAAAGTACTGCTTGGTGTTTTTCCCTGTGCACGCTGTTTCAGCTTGGTCTGGATTTTTCTAATGAAAGCAGGTGGAACTCTCTCCTCAAAGTCATCCACAGGTGTGTACATGTTCAAGATTTTTATAATCTAAAGGGGTAGAAAAAGAGATAATTTAAGTTTTAGTAATACAGTAAAGTTTTTAAGAATTAACACTATATCTTCTTTTACCCCACCAGGACATCACACAAGCAATAAATACCTGATGACACAATGTGACACCATGTGGATGAGGATCACCTGTGGAGAGGTCCCAGAAACCGCGTTCAGCCATTAGACCATATTTATGGCCAGGCTATATTGCAGCCCCTGGCAAGATCCAGAGTAGGCCTTCAAATAACGATAAATTGCATCCCAAAAAGGGATGACAAATGTAATTTAATTAACACTGACTGAATATACAAAATTGCCACAGAGAATTATGCAGAATAGAAATAACACACACACAGCACGGAAAGACTGTGCAACAGATGAAACACATGGCATTAATAAAAATCTTAAAGAAATGACAACCATTTCTTGAAATGCTTCTGAAAGAGAACCCAGACAGATTGTCTGAACACTTCACTGAGGTAACTGGAGATGGAGGAGGGAGGAAGAGTGAAAGATGCAAAGCTATAATAAGATTTAAAAAATACAAGCAAATACTGCACCTTTTCAATAATTTCTGATCAAGATTTTCTTAATCTAAAGAAACAGAGAATTTAAGTTGCAGAAATACCATATTGTGTTAACAAACAAAAAAATTAATTATGAACTAATGACAAAGATTCAGAAGTGTTTCCAACAAAATAAAATACAATAAAAATTAGAACGTCTAATATTATGTGTGCTCAACCCTGCTGTATACAGTTCAGAAACTGGACAATGAACAAACTGAGACCCTTAGATGCGGATATACAGAAGAACAGGTCATATTTCATAGACATGAAAACAATAAAATATAGAAGTTCTAAAAAGATGAGACATGAAAACAATAAAATATAGAAGTTCTAAAAAGATGAGACATGAAAACAATAAAATATAGAAGTTCTAAAAAGATGAGACATGAAAACAATAAAATATAGAAGTTCTAAAAAGATGAGGAATGTGGTGGCTAAAAATTTTGAAAGAGACAAGAGAAATAATTTCAACCATATTAAAAGACATGACACTAATAAAACAAATACAGCGGGGGGAATTATTAAAGGCAGACAGGTAAAAAGTTGCCAGAAATGATTGTCAAAGCCTCAACCATCATTCATGTGTAAGTAATGATTTAAGTAACTTTTCCTTCAGAAGTGTCTCCCCCCCCCCCCCCCCCCCTCCCTCCTTGCCCAGGATTGCAGTCTGAATGATTGACACCAAGTGACTCAAAGAGCAATTCTGGGATATGAATCCAGCAGGAGCAAATCCTAGACCATATAAAATCGTTCAACCATAAAAAACAGTAAAATTAGGCCACCATACAGTTAGTTACATAGTAACCTGCAGTTCTGTCATAAGTTTATGTTCTTCTTCTGCTTTCATCTGGTTATATTATATCTGTAATATTATCTGTTGAGATATCACCGTACTATACATTATGTGTTGGCCTATTTTCCTTTTTCCATACTGCATGGGGCTTAGAGTTTCTACAGTTCACATATGTTATGGATATTTCTGTCAGAGAACTCAGCTTACGTATAGATAAGTGAATCTGTGTGTGTATTTTTGCTGGTAATTGTATCATTCTTCACTTGAGTCATATGCTGATGTAGGCATTCTAGCTGCAAAATTCATTTGCCATTCATGGCTGCGATAATGTGAAACTGAAGAGTTTTACCTAGAATTTTGACCGATAGTATACATCCTTGCATGGTCTACAGTCAGTCAGTCAGTCAGTCAGTCAGTCAGTCAGTCAGTCAGTCAGTCAGTCAGTTAGTTATTTAGATAAGGATAGAAAGATTGCTTCACCAACCTGTGCCATTGTCATCTTAGGACACATATCACAAATGCTGTTGACATCTGAGTCTGTCTTCCTAGCTTGCAGCAGTTGAGATGCTTGTATCACCGGCTCCAAGGCGTCAGGGGCTCTGGAATCTTGCAGGGAGTTATCCCGCAGCCACTGCTCTAGCTGATTCAAGTTATACCTGCACAACCCAGAACAACCTTTGTTATAGAAAGGGTTAGGTACAAATCAACTGGAGACCACTGGTGTACATCTGAGGTACAGGTTAGCTAGTCAAAAATCTTAAGGACTTTTTCTGAATGTCTCGTCCTCCTCCATATCCTCCAACTCTTCCTCCTCCTTCTTCTTCTACCCTTTAGCTTGTTTATTTGTTCTTATATCCTCTTGTCTTGATCTATCTGTACTTTATGGTGTCAAGGAGTTGTATATTTGTTTGTTCCTCTTGTCTTGATCTATCTGTACTTTATGGTGTCAAGGAGTTGTATATTTGTTTGTTCCTCTTGTCTTGATCTATCTGTACTTTATGGTGTCAAGGAGTTGTATATTTGTTTGTTCCTCTTGTCTTGATCTATCTGTACTTTATGGTGTCAAGGAGTTGTATATTTGTAGGAAACTGCCAGTTTGTATGCTTTATATATGAGCATTTCTAGGGGTTCATCCTGTCAGTCCATCATCTGAATGGTCAGCCTTTTGATTGATTCCCAAGTAAGTAGTCTGTTCATTCAGGCTATTTAATTAAGTTTATACAGGGACCAAAGTTTTAGAAAATGGGGATCATCAGGAGGCCGGTGGCCCGAGTCCCAGCAAAGAAAGATCTTTATTACAATACAACTGGATGGTGATCTGTGGTCCACTTGCTATGCCTCTGTGGTCCACTTGCTATGCCTCTGTGGTCCACTTGCTATGCCTGTGTTGTCCACTTGCTATGCCTGTGTGGTCCACTTGCTATGCCTCTGTGGTCCACTTGCTATGCCTCTGTGGTCCACTTGCTATGCCTCTGTGGTCCACTTGCTATGCCTCTGTGGTCCACTTGCTATGCCTCTGTGGTCCACTTGCTATGCCTCTGTGGTCCACTTGCTATGCCTCTGTGGTCCACTTGCTATGCCTCTGTGGTCCACTTGCTATGCCTCTGTGGTCCACTTGCTATGCCTCAGTGGTCCACTTGCTATGCCTCTGTGGTCCACTTGCTATGCCTCTGTGGTCCACTTGCTATGCCTCTGTGGTCCACTTGCTATGCCTCTGTGGTCCACTTGCTATGCCTCTGTGGTCCACTTGCTATGCCTCTGTGGTCCACTTGCTATGCCTCTGTGGTCCACTTGCTATGCCTGTGTGGTCCACTTACTATGCCTCTGTGGGCCGCCTCTACTGACCAGATTTGGCCCATGGGCTGACAGTTTAAACAGCCCTGCTGCACATGATGGCTTGCTGTGGTATACTATCTTTTGGCATCCAAGTTCAATGGCTGCCATGATTTCCCCTGTTGTTTTATGTTGAAATCTAGGACTGATACTACCTCCATTTTCTTTTGGTTTTCATTATTTCTGATCTTCTGTCTTCTTGTGATGTGGGCTGCTCTTCCTAAGAATTTAATTTCAGTAGTAATTTTTGTTCTCTTTCTTTTATCATCCAATTCTGGCATTGTTTTGCACTGACTTGGTGAGAAGACTGATTCTGTCTCATTGTATTTTTTTATACTGATTTTCATCTCAGTTCTTTTACTACAGTTTGTTTGAAGTTTGAGGTTTGAACAATGGACCAACATCATGGCACACGGGTAGTAACCCATAAGTGCTCCATTCTTCTTCCAACTCCAAATTTTGTATGGGCAACGCGGTTAGTCTACAATTTTTGATTTCCAACTGCCAAGGGATTTTTTACATGGGCAAACAATGCACATGGGTGTCCAATCTAACTGCCCAGAGACCAGGGGGAATTACTATGAGTCCAAGTCCACGTGAAAAAATCCCACCCCTTACCGGGGATTGAACCCGGAACCTTCAGCACTTGAGGTGGACACCATGCCTCAAGACCATGCAGCTCCCCTTTTACTACAGTAGCTCTATATAACATCAGTGAAAGAAGTTATACATTTAGTGTTGCAGATGTTGTGCTGTGACTGAGACACTTTAAAGAGCTAAAGACACGACTATGTTACCTGATCTGCATGCCCTTGGACCAGTTGCACATGTCCTTCCTGAGCAGAAGGTTGTTGAGTGTGTGGGCACACAGGAAGTAAAACAGCTGGGGAGGATCATGGGAAGAACAATGTTACATTCAGAAGCTTTATACTTTTCATCATAAAAATTTATTAACTGGTGCCTGCACAAAAGAGAGGGAATTAAATGGCATGATGTGCAGCTTTGGTTGGAAACTAGCCAAATTTGGTGAACCAAGAGGTGAGTAAAAGATGATGATGTTGGATAAGACATATGTCGAGAAACCTGATGACTAGAGGGTGAGCACATTTGGGAATGCACAGAATACAGTGGTGTCAATTCATGATACATTCATTCATTTATTCACTCAGTATGACTATAATGTCTTTGCACTGGAACTCACAGGGTCAACAGAATAAATAAAGAAACTGCTCACTGCCAATTATTGCCTTATTTACCATTTATTCGCTACATTTGTGGGGGGTGTGGGGGGGGGGGGTGGGGAGGGTTATTTGGGTCTGAGGATTTAGGGTCGCATGGGTAGTGAGGTTGCCATGAACTGAGCAGGTTAGGAATTTACTTTTGCCCTCAGCAGAAAAGAAAAAAAAACAGCTTAGCTAGGATTTAAACCTGGATCTCTCATATAAGAGCTCAGCATTATTCACTGTTGGGCCAGCTATTCCTCAACAGAATAAAGGCAAAACTAAACACACACAGAAGAGAACTAAAGAGTGAAGTCAACAAGACTGGGAGACCAGGCGTGTGCTGCATGTGATAGCAGACGACAGGACAATCAGATACTTGGTGTGCTGCATGTGAAAGTAGACGACAAGACAATCAGACATGTGGTGTGCTGCATGTGAAAGCAGACGACAAGACAATCAGACATGTGGTGTGCTGCATGTGAAAGCAGACGACAAGACAATCAGACATGTGGTGTGCTGCATGTGAAAGCAGACGACAAGACAATCAGACATGTGGTGTGCTGCATGTGAAAGCAGACGACAAGACAATCAGACATGGAATGTGCTGCATGTGATAGCAGACGACAGGAGAATCATACAGGGAATTGGTTGAGGGCCTATGGTCCCCTGGAGAATAAAGGGTAAAAGGAAGAAGCAGATTTCATTATTGTTTAGCAGGTCTTTTCCTAAGGCTGCTCCCATTTGCCATAACTGACATACTCTCTGTCAGATGGTAATTCCTCCACCCAGGACTGGATCACAATCATAAATCATGCTCCTACCTTTGGGATTTGTGATTAGGATGACTACTCTTTCATGAGCATTTTAATAATATGCAGGTCCATGAGTTGTTCTATTAGTGAGGCTTACCATCAGAGTACTCCAGACAGATCTACGGGTGCCTCGATCCTCTCCTTGGCAGAAAGAGTAATACAATTGACCACACCCATTCTATGTTAATTTTTTTTTTTTATATCCAGAAACCATGAGTTGTTAACCCTTTGGCTCGGTACTGTGGATATCGCAATCCTTCGGCCTTGATTCCATGATAGGTACCATAAATCTAGGGGGGAAATGTGGCTTTTCTGCCTACCCCCAGGAGTGAACCCGGACCACAAGAAGTTCATCACCCTGTCACCGCGCAGTCCGGTTTAGCCAAATATGTTAGAGAGCCGGGCTCCCTGTTCATTAAAAAGAGGTCTTGTGCCTTTAGTGAAACCTTCATATCTGGCTGCTAAAGAAGATACTCCCAAATCCACCAACCTGGACAGGGATAGTGATTCCTGCATCTTCTTTGTATATGCATCTTGCATGGTATTAATGACGTCATTACTATCTAGTGCCAAGCCATAGTAACTGCCTTATTAGCTAGATAATCCTCAGGCTAAATGTTGAATTAAGAATCGACATAACAGCACTCAGAACACTCCCATAAGTGCTCAGTCCCATCTTCAGTAGCAAGCGAAGAGTTCCAATTCCGATAGTACCAGTAACCGTCTAATTGTATATCCGTCTCATCCTTTCCCTGAGTGTTGAGCGTAAGCCAGATACCCTGGTATCTCCTCGCAGCGCCATTCTTCTTAGACCATAATGATCTATCTGCGCCTAAACACTGTTCAGTCACTCCCAAAGGGCCCTCACAACATCCAGCTTGCCATACATCAATTCACCACCAAGTGGTGCAGAACCGAGCAGTTTATCTGTCTGCTCATTTCGCAACATACCGGCATGATCTGGAAAAAATATCCAAAAGATGCTAACTACCCGGGACCTCTGAAGTGATGCTTGCCACTCTGCACACCCACACTGTCCAGTAGTCGTAGGGCTAAATGTGGCATGAGGCAACAAGGCAATCAGAAGAAACCGTAAAACAATGTTGATGCTGCAGACCAAGGTTGCTGGACTCAATTTCATTCACGATATCAAAAATATTGCACAGTATAGAGCAAAATGGAAAAAGAAAGACCATCTCAAAATATGTCTAAATTATTAAACATGCCTAAATAACTAATTTAAACAAATTAAAAACATTTTTTGTCTAATTATCTGTCTAAATTATCAGAAACATCTAAAAAGCTAATTAAAATAAACATGTTTACCTGTCTAATTATCTGCTTGATAAGCTCATGATCCACAGAATGAAGCTTCAAGATCCGTAAAAAGGAATTCAGCTGAGGAAATAAGCAGTGGATAATTAATGATTTATAATATGGACATACTTCACATGTGGATGACTGGATAAGTAGGGCATTCTTCTATGTCTTGTTCTTTTCTACTCACTCCTCTTTCTATTTCTTGTCCTTTTCATCCTTCTGTTTCTTCTTCCCGACATTCCCTCCTTATCTTTTCCCCCTCCTTCTGCTTCCTCCTCCCCCTTTTCTTCTGCTTCTTTGAGAAAATTAGAAGGAAGAGGGAAAGGAGGACTGAAGGTAATGTATGAAGAAAAGAAGACAGATGTAAGAGTAAGAGAAGAGAGGATGTCGAGGATAACAAAGAAGAGAGAATGAGGAAGAAGAGAAACAAAAAAGGAGAACAAGAAGAAGGAAAAAAATAGATCCCAGTTACTGTCCATATTTTAAATCAACACAGCTCATCTACTTCTTCTTTTTCTGTGTGTTTACTGGCTGTAAGTGCCAAATGGTCTGTGAAAATATGAGAGCTCTTCCCCTTAGCCTGATGCGCTTAAAGGAATCTTAACTTTTTTTTTTTAACTTTTACTTTTACTGACTGTAAACTACAGCAGAAAGTTCTGGTTTCTCTGCCACTTCTGGACTTTTGTCTTGCTCTAGAACTTGAGTTTTGCATGCACATTTGTTTTATAGATCTGGCTTATATGTATGCAGACTGTTGGCTCCTTACCGCTCAGGGGAATGCACTCTGACTTTCAAGGAAAGATCCCTAATTAGTCGACTTTAATGACATGCTTTTTGGGGGAAAAGGGGGGGGGGGGGGTATTAGGTCTATATTCATTTTCCCTCCTCCTCCCCCCACCCCCCCAAAAAGGGCCCTAGAATCCAAACATAGGAAGCATGGCTCATTAAGAAAGATAAAGAAATGATCATTACTGTTTCTACAAGATCATCCAAAGAATGTTGTGAAGTTTTCCTGTCCTCGGCTTCATGGGCAATGCTGGATGATCTGCCACGTAGCCCCGAAGGTTTGCTGGCTGTCAGTCCAGCTATAGCTTCATGCTCCAAGATGGCTGGAACTAGAAAGTATATCGTAAATTATGTTATGAAAATCTATCTCACTGCGTATTGAGCGTTTTTGTACGAGCTCAGTCCTCTGATGCAGCAGCCCTTCCTGGGTACCTCTGAAAACACTTGATTGTTTTCAGGAGGAGTTAGTTACAAGGTCTCCTTTTTTTATCCCAAACACAGATAAGACAGGCTTCACTTCAACTCATGTAGTCAGGTTAGCTTTAGAGACATTATTCACCGATCTGGTCTGAATGACACTGACTACATAATTGTTGGAATTTAGCTGCAACATAATGAAAAGAGAGACATTGGAGAACATTGTGACAACTGGAAAGATTAATGGAAAAAAAAAAGGGGTAGAGGCAGACCAAGAGAGATTATGCTAGATGGGCTGAAATGATGGCATGGAGGAATATCATCGAGAGAGATGTTCTAGGCAACCAGGGATCGTGATCTCTGAAGATGCATTAGTGCCAACGCCAGCTGATGATGATGATGATGATCAAAACAAATTTCTTGGTTGGACATTTTTAAAAGTTTGTTGTATGCTCTTTATAAGATGTCAAAATGAATGCAAGGTGGTCTGCTGACAAATCGCCGAGAGCTGAATCAAGCTTCAAAATCACAGACCATGTTTGTACACCCTAAGCCACAGATGCTAGTATTTGGACAGTAGATAAACGGAAATAATGGTAAATAAAAATGTCCTCCAAAATGCAACAGAAAATGAGCATGTCCTCTTGAATGCAACACAAAATCTCATCACGAATGAAACAAAATAGGAAACACCCTCCAGAAATGCCACAGATACTGAATGATGATGAAAGAACAAAATGGAAAAGGGACAACACAGTTTCAGCAAGTAAATGCAACAACTAATGAGACAGCGAAAGCTGGGAAATGGGTATCATATGTTGGGTAATCAATAAACACGTAATTCGTTCTTTGGGGACCCTATGGGTTCATTACCAACAAACTAAAACAATCAGTCAATTACCAATTTGAGGTTGGGGACCCTATGGGTTCATTACCAACAAACTAAACCAAATAAGTCAGTTACCAATCTGAGGTTGGGGACCCTATGGGTTCATTACCAACAAACTAAAACAAATAGTCAATTACAAATTTGAGGCTGGGGACCCTATGGGTTCATTACCAACTAAACCAAATAAAGTCAGTTACCAATTTGAGGTTGGGGACCCTATGGGTTCATTACCAACAAACTAAACCAAATAAGTCAGTTACCAATCTGAGGTTGAATTAGATCCATGATCCTCTTCAGCAGTGCCTGATAGTTCCACACTGCCAGGTCAGAGAACACCTGTCTGTAGTCGGAGAGGTCAAAGTTTCTTAAGCTCTGGGTGTTCTGCTGTGGAGTGTTTTGCATCTGGAATTGCTGGAGAAAGAAGAAGATGAATGACAGGGAATGGGTTTGTGGGTTAATTTATTATTTGTTAGGTAAATAGATAGGAAGATTAGCTGGTGGTTGGTTTACTGGTTGACTTATTTGGATGTAGGTCAGTGGACAGGTAGGTATGTGGGTAGTTAGGTAGGTTGGTATGTATGTAGGTGGACAGATTGGTATGTAAGTAGTTAGGTAGGTTGGTATGTATGTAGGTGGGCAAAAAGCTTACATGGGAAGCATACGTACATACATGAACTGATTACCTAGTTCAAACGAGACAATCCATATTCATCTGGCACTTCACTGAGTTAGGGACAACTGAGGTACCATATTTATTGGTGTATAAGATGCTCCCTCATATAAGACTCAACCCAGGGATTTAAAAAAAAAAAAACATTTTCCAAGAAAATACTAAAATTTAAAGAAAAATATAATTAATATTTTAAAAAAATATATATATTTTAAAAATCATTCAACTTCAGAAGCCTTGGTTTCTGTGCACATAAACAGTTAACTGCACTTCATAAAGCAGTAACATCATACCTCCATGCACTACCTACTCCCCTCCCCTTTCCCAACACCTTTATTTGAATCACTAATGGTACACTCACTGGCTAACTTTACTGCATGTATGCATATTATCTCTTTTGAAGTGGCACTGCTATTGCCAGCCATTTCACATCTCTAAGCCACAATTCATAGATCAGTCTCTAGTCCACCATTCAATATATCAGTCTCTAATTCCACCTATTTCAGTATACAGAGTTATACGTTCCAAATCATCACTGTATTTCTAGACAAGAGCACACACACAAAAAATGCTTCAACTTACATAAACTATCAGGAGGCAAGGGAGATTATATGCATAACTACTACATAGTGAACTTCAAAATTCCGTTGCCCAGTTACTGAGTTGACTGCATGGTGTGACACTGTGAGCTGTGGATGTCATTTGAAATGCATTTTGGCTGTACCTAATGTGATTTGTGTTGTGAACTGTAGATTCAGAAAATGGTGACTAGCTTGTTGCCACAAAACTGCTTTTTGTGAATATTGGCGTGTGCAACTACTGATCTGTACTAAATGCTTGCTTTCATGTCTAGTGTTGGACTGTTTGTGTCAGCACTTCTGATGACCGCCATTTAATGTGTGTGTATGCTACTGGATTTGCTGAGACTGCAGTCTGTGTCAATTTTTCCAGAAGTGATAGTGATTGATATTCTGTGTGGGTTTCCTTGGTTTAGGAACGGAGCTGGTATGGGGTGACCCATTTGCTATGAAGTTGGAATTGCGATAACCTGATTACCATATATATAACTTATTAACTATTATTATTCCTGTATGGGTTTCAGGGCCCCTTTTTGTGGGGATTAATGTACAGACCCACTGCCCCCATAAAAGGTGTGTTATATAAACATGACTGCAATATACTCTTTAAGGATGGCCATATAACACTACCGAGGGCTGAGACTTCATGTGTACCAGTTCAAATCCTCGATAAGGTTATAGAGTTTTTTCTGCTGCGAAAAAAAAAATACAATTATAATATATAGAGAATGTTTTGAATGCTTTAGCCAAGTGGCCATAAAATTCTAATTTTCAAAGATCCAACCCCCGACCCTCCCCCCCCCCCTCACCCCCCACACCACCACGCCTCTTGTCCTGCAGGTGGGGGTGTTTATTTTCACCCCTGAAAGAACAAGAGTTCCATCACCTTACCAAGGAATTGAATCAAGGTCTCACTTATGAAAGCTAAGGTTCTGTCCTCTTACATTTTTACTTCTTATTTAACATCCTGTTCCCTTTAGGTTACCTGCTGTAGACATCACCCACCTCCCATTTACCTATGGGATTGGTCATGTCTTTCCAGTTGGAGACTCCAAGTGTTTGTAAGTCTGTCAATCTATTATCTCTCCACCCTCTTTTTGCTCTCCTTTGTGGTCTATTCCCATTCCCCTCCATTTCGTACACAATTGTTGCCTCTTTGTCATCTGCCATTCTTTTTATAAGTCCAACCATTTCAGTTTATTAGCCCTTGTTGGTTGTTAAAATCCATCAAAAACTGAGGCACAGATATCTGTTTCATGGCACAAAGAATGCTGCTACCTCCCCAACCTGGAGGATCAGAGTGTATCTTTCTGTCTAGTTCTCTACCCTGTGACCTGTATATCCTAGGTGGCCTGCTGGTAGCTAGGCTACTGCCTACATAGCTCTCAGGTTCATTGAGAAGTGTAAGCTCTCTCACGACACCATTTCACTCACGGTGGAGACACCATTTCACAGTGGAGACACCATTTCACTCACGGTGGAGACACCATTTTACGGTGGAGACACCATTTCACGGTGGAGACACCATTTCACGGTGGAGACACCATTTCACGGTGGAGACACTTTAGTGGGAACCCCACGTTTTCTAATGGATGACAAAAAATATTTACAGTGTACAAATATTGGGACTAGCTTTTACAGCCAGAGTCAATAACCCTGACTGTCTAGAACAGGCTAATGATGAAAGGCTGTGGACAGACAGGACAACAATAGTTACACAGGGTTGAGTTATCTGCTTCTAGATATGGTTGTCTGTTGAACTGTACACATATGTGGATTGAAAGTATTTAGTTCCATCACCCAGATACTGATCAGAATGAATGGCACAACACTGTGAACTGCGGATCTCATTTCAAATGCTTTACAACTGTGTTCAACAGGATTTGCATTGTGAACTGTGGTTTCAGAAAATGGTGTGTGGCCTTTTGCCACAGAACTGGTGGTGCCTTACTCAATACTGTATGTACAATCAGCTATGTTGTTATTTCTGCTTCCACTGACAAAAAACTGCAATTCTAGTGATGGTCTGTCTGTGTTGGCACCCTTGATGACTGCCTTACTCAATGAATGCGTGTGTATGCTGCTGGCTTTACCATTGCTGCAGTCTGTGTTTTTTTTAACAAGAAACATCAATGGATATATGCAGTTATTTCTTGCACAGGAATTAAGCAATTTTGGGGTGATTCATGTTCCATGGAATTTGAGCTTTCATTACCTGATTAACAAAAAGAACCAGTAGTAATGGTGATACAGAACAAAGAGAACGCTACCTTCACAACTTTTTTTATGCCATTGATTACAGAAGTCAGCAGTAATTTAACTTTCTCATCATCATTGATGTGATCATCATGTCGCAAACACATAAACAAAATATACGCTGGCAGACCAGGGGTGAGTGTTGCTGCCAGTTTAGGCTCTAGTTCTGTAACATAAAAATGGTGTGAAATCTGGTACAAGTGAAAAGTAAACTTTGAAAGAAATGAATTCACATGAAATAAATTCATTACATAATCTGCCAGTCTTAATGACTGTTAACTCTTAGAGTCTCAGGAACAGCAATTTACTGCTTTTGTCTTAACTCTGTATTATGCAAATCACTATTCATTTATCTGTTAGCATAAAAATTGTAAAAGTTTCAGACTCTTCTATCTCAGCCTTTTGATACATAAACTTATTACATCTTAATTGTTTATTTTGCTCCTTCTGCCCCTTAGTGTTATTTTAACTTCTCTGAATTCAAACATCAGTACCTTTAAACTAGAATAGAAGCAGTTACATTAATAACAGGTTATAATGAAAGAGTTGAACAGGGATCATTTTAAATAAATGTTCAAGTCTGTGAGGTTTATTTTATTGCTTGTCAATCCTCTGGAAGATTACTACTTCTTTGCATTGGCTGTGAACTGCAGTGGAAAAGTTCTGGGTGTTTGTCCCTTTCTGGATTTCAGTCTTGCTCCAGAACTTGAGTTTTGCATGCACATCCATTTTACAGATCTGACTTATTTGTAGGCAGACTGTTATCTTCTCACCTCTCAGGCAGATACACTAAGACTTCAAAGGAAACAGCTTGATTTAGTCTAATGTTATGAAATGCATTTTAGGGAAGCAGCGGGTCTACCCCCCCCCCCCCACCCCCCCCCCCCCCCCCCCCAACATGGACCCTGAATCCACACAGGGACTCTGAAATACTGAGGGTTGTCATTCTTCTCCTCCGGGATTACTGTTCCTAGATGAGTCTGTTGGTGAAAAAAGGGGGGGGGGGGGTGTCTTCATAGTGAAAATGTTAAACTGTTTTCAAGGTGGTGAGCTTAGTTTAGTTTCTGATTATATCATACTTCTCTGTGTGTGGGTTCAGTAAGCCCATTTGGGTTGAGTTGGGAGGCGAGGATAGAGTCACTGGCCCCTATCAGGCATGTCATCAAAATGACTTGTTCTTGTTTGTCAACCTGCTAGTTTTTAGCAGAGTAGGCCAATAAATTTTAGAGATTTATTTCTCAGTAAAATGAAACCTAAACTCAGGGGGAAAGTATAAATGCCTTTAAATAACAGCAAGAAGATTTAATGTGACAGCAGATTGGAAAACGCAAAAGTCTGCAGCTGGAGACTACTAAAGACTGTCCTCCATAATAACTACAAAAATACAAGTTTGCTTTATTACTGAGGGCAGAGTTTTATAACAAATCTTTGCACCCATCAAAAATGAAAACAAAACAAAATAAAGAGTCTGAGAAGCAACATTAAATTCATAATTTGCTTAAATCACCACTGATTACTAGCATCATGAGGGCTAATAGACTGTAATAGTTGGGACAGGGAGAGAGAGAGAATGGTAGACAACAAACACTGCGTACACAAAAGAGCTGAATGGAAGTAGATCATGAAGCAGACCAAGAAGACAGTAAAGAGAGAAAATCCAGACTACAAATATTTGGAGTCATTAACTGGAAAGTGAAAGCTAATCACAGAGATGAACACAAGTGAGTGACATCTGCAGCACCGAACTTCAAGAGATCGGAATTCTGAAAAAGAATCTACCCCAGCTTGAAAACATGACAATAAAAAATTCAGCTTGAAGAAACAAAACACAATATCTTCCTTATAGAAATGAATAATATTTATCAAAGCAATAAAAACGTATATATAATGTTATGAGAAAATAATCAGCACAATTAAAAGTGGTATACATTTGTTAACAGCAATTATAAGCTAGTGGAACCAATAGCAAACTTACCCACAATGAGATATTTAATCAACATCGGCACACTTTCTTTTTTGTGCTCAAACATTCCTAAATAAGTTCTCTCCCTGAGTCTGACTGTAGCAATAGCATCAGATGTGTTAGCCACGTCCTTTTTCTCCACTTCCATTGTCGCTCCAGCTGTTGGTTTAAGGAAGATATGTTTTAGTTACTGGCAGCAAACATTTTAAAAAAGTTGCACAAAAGAAGTGAACAGCAAAATTCAACTGTTTAAAATCACTATGTCCATAAGGAAGAAAATCTAAGGGCTTTTGAGCTGAAATTGTTTAGAGAGATTCTCAGAATACCATGAACAAGCAAGAAGAGAAATACTGACATCCTAAAAGATCTGAACATCAAGGAAGACTGGCCTGTAAACAGGATCTCATCTCAGATACTGACATCCTAAAAGATCTGAACATCAAGGAAGACGCCTGTAAACAGGATCTCATCTCAGATACTGACATCCTAAAAGATCTGAACATCAAGGAAGACGCCTGTAAACAGGATCTCATCTCGGATACTGACATCCTAAAAGATCTGAATATCAATGAAGACTGGCCTGTAAACAGGATCTCATCTCAGATACTGACATCCTAAAAGATCTGAACATCAAGGAAGACTGGCCTGTAAACAGGATCTCATCTCGGATACTGACATCCTAAAAGATCTGAACATCAAGGAAGACTGGCCTGTAAACAGGATCTCATCTCGGATACTGACATCCTAAAAGATCTGAACATCAACGAAGACTGGACTGTAAACAGGATCTCATCTCGGATACTGATATCCTAAAAGATCTGAACATCAAGGAAGACTGGCCTGTAAACAGGATCTCATCTCAGATACTGACATCCTAAAAGATCTGAACATCAAGGAAGACGCCTGTAAACAGGATCTCATCTCGGATACTGACATATTTTCTTCAAATCAAGCACCAAGGCAGAAAGTCAGACCCTTTTCAAATAACATCTGATTTAAAGCAAGGTGATGTTCTGTCCCCGCTGCTTTTCAACCTGGCCTTAAGAGAAAATTTTAAGGAAATTGAAACAAGAGTGTACTATAGCAGAATCTACAAGAATACTTGATTATGCAGATGATATTGATATCGATGGAGAAAATGAACTGAAGACTTAAAATACTCTCTTAAAAGAATCAGCTCAGAAAAAAGGGCTAGTTATCAATCAAGATAAGATAAGAAAGAATACATGATAATAACTAGACAATGAAAGAAAATAAACTGGCCACAAACAAGTCAATAATATGAAAATCAAAAAACAAACGGAAACATTTAAGTTCTTAGGTGCAAACTTCAAATGCTCCAACATGTTGAGAGAAAAAATACAATCTGGAAATAAAGTATACTATGCCCTTTAACATCTGCTAAAGTCAAGAAGAAGAAGTAGCACCATCGTGGACTTGAAAAATAATTGCAGAAGGCATGGTACCAGGAAAAGGGGACAGGGGCCAAAAAGCAGAAAGATGGACATAGGAAATAAGAGAACCTTGCATAGGAAAGTGCACAGGATGGTACACTCACTAACTACCCAGGACCTCTAAAGTGATGCCAGCCACTCTGCACGAAGCACGCCTATCTCCACCCTTATCAACATGTTCTGTGAGTCTGTTATAATTACAACAAATGTTTCAGCTGGTCGCCAAGCCAATAGAAGGCTGTAATGACTGCCTTTACCTCCATTCTCAAATTAGATAGGGTATCGTATGCCAGGCCTTTTTTTTTTTTTGCACTAAACAATGTCCATTGTCAGGAACTGTCATGGATCATTTGTTGAACTTCTGATTCTGCAGCGCCCCCTGGCAAGGCCCTGCAATCATGGCCCATGTGACTAGAATTCTACCAAGTCTCACTGTTGCTCTGACACTATTATCCTGACCAAATACTCTCGAGCCTGCACACCTGTTTACTTGTGTCTTCAGCTTGCACCATCCAGTGCTGGCCTCTTTTCAGTCAACAGACCTCTTTTTATTCAACAAAACACTATCCTTATCTTCTGTAACAAAATTAAAATCCTATCCAAATTGACCTCTTTATCTTTCCCTTCCTCTTTTGCTATCGAGTTTTCCTGTTTTTATTAAGTTGTCATAACTACCATAAAGAGGCCATGGAAGCACAGTTTAAGAACAAATATTTGTCCATGAATCCTCTTATTTCCTTCTTCATTGTTATCATAGTGCCAGAACACTGTTTTGTTGAGACACCAGTTAGCGTTTTCTGTCTGATAAGTTCCTTTCACCTTTGTTAGTCAGTTGCAATGGACTTCATGATTACATGTTTAAAGCCGGTTCATTTAGCCAGATTCAGAATCCATATCTTTCTTGGTCTGTCTCTTCTGTAACAAGCCTTGTAGTATCATCTTGGAAAAGCCGGTAGATCTCATAAAGTGTTTGTACCATTACATTTATTCCCTTTTCTCTATACCCAGGATATTTAAAAAAGATATCATTTCAAATGCTTGTATCTTTTCTCCTTACCTTCACCATTTTTCAACTTTCCATAATTCATCTTTAGTTCATTTTTCAGTTTGTAAATTTCATCAGCCTGTCTGTCAATAGACTCTCTCAAGTCCTGAAAAAAATGAATTTTTTTTTAAATTACTGACCTTCACTGAAAATAATTTTGCACAACTACCATCGTGAAACAAGCACTTACAGACTGGTGCTCCCATCACAGCTTGCCAGAAAGCCACTCAGGTTCTTACCAATTTCCCTGTCTTATATAGTAAAACCACTTTATAACGAATGAACTCACTCTGTAAACAGAAATTCAGTTTTGGCCCTAGCAGGGAAGTATATGCATTAACTACATGTATAAGTCCCCGGTAAATTAGAAATTTTTTCTCAACACAAACTCTTGAGTTTTCGGTCCCTTGTAATTCATCTTAACAGGGTTTTACTGTATTTTCATACACAATATAGTGTCCATGTAAAGATATAGGTTAAGAAATACTATCAGAAGTTAGGCAAACCCTGAATTTACATAAATAAAAGGAAGGGGTTTGGTTGACCACTGATCATTTTTTTTTTAAACTGACACAAAATATAACATGACTGTAGTAAGATGAAAGCAATTTCCAAAGGTTGTTAGGGAGTCAAAGAGAAATGAGAGAAAGACAGGAATCAAGCGAAGATGTGAATAATATTAACTGAACACCTGATATGTGTGTGTATGAGTGATAAGAAGAGACATATAATCTAAGAAAAACACTTAGGGTATCTGCTGCGAGCAAGACCGTGAGTCACATGAAGCTGGGCATGTATGTATCCCTACTAGGTGGGACTGTATGAAGCAGTGAACATTGGTTTGACAGCAATAGGTTTGTGTGACATAAGAGATGTCTGGTGACAGTGTGTGAAGGACAAGCTTGCTGTACATGGAGTGTGATAGATTTGTGAATGTTTCCATACATTGTAAAAGACAGTGGACTAGATGTGTGTTACATCAATAATAAATGTTGTTTCAGAAAAATAGATTCCTGTCATAGAAGAATGCCAGCTGTGTTCATCCTGTGGTATCTGTCTCTAAGGACCTTGTGAGTCCTGCTGTGTTGTGCTGGTCCATCACTAGCAGCTTGAAGCTGAAGTAAATGAACTGAGTGGGCTCATTGCATTCCACCTTTGTGTTGACTGACCCCAGCGTTTTCTAACAGGAACCACATCTTGCATTAGCATTCTTTCTATGCCACTGCTGTGTTAAATTGTGCATAAGCATTTCAGACTCCATTTCAGCCAGATTTCTTTGATAAATGTCCATTCTGTTTACAGTTTACATTTGTTTGTGTGCCAGTGATAGTTTTTGAGTCTACTGTGGTCACTGCTACTCATCCTCAGAATCCACTGTCAGAGAGGTTTCTCGACATCATCATCATCAAACAGCAAGTCCTTTACAGAACTTTGCTGTCTTTACAGAACGCTTGAAAATATCCCTTTCCCTAGCCAGCTCTCCAGCCCCATGTGCTTTCATTTCCAACGCATCTTCAATGTCTTGTATCCCTCTTCACGGAGGTCGACGCCTGCCTTGCCTTCCACAAACTGCTCCCTCCAACGCCGTCTTTTCCAAGCCACCATGAAGTTTGATATGGCCAAAATACTTCAACTTTCGAGACAGGATGTTGTTTATGAGCCAGTTCTCCTTGATGTTTAACTCATGTAGAATGTCGATCTTTTTTCTTTTCATGATCAATGGTATTCTGAGAATTTCTCTGTAACATTTTAATTTTAAAAGCTGGCAAAATAATTCAATAGCTTTCTTGGCATATTTAAAAAAACTGGAATCACCACTCATGAGCTTCTTTGGGAGGATTTGGATCAACCTGGCCCTTTTCTCAGTGGTAAGAAACAGAACATAAACATCATGGGATTGACCTTTTAATTCACTGATCAGTACTTATCACATAATTAGGACATGATCACGTTCAACGCACTTAGTCACGTGCCATGCAGTAAAAGCAGGTTTCAGATCAATGCTCCTAATATAGTAGGAGAGGTTTCCTTGCCTTCTATGTTTCTATAATGAGACGGGTTTTCTAACATATTATGTTTCCATTTGTGGAGAGCTTTCCTGTAAAATTTTGATCCCTGTCTAAAACATTGCCACATTTTGAGACAAGACCCTACTGATGGTCATGTCTGATGTGCGATGAAGATGATCTCTAAAATGAACAATGAACCATGACACAAGACTCTTTGCGTTGTGTAGAAAATAAGCACACAGCCGTCAGTAAAAGTAAATCCTGTCATGCTTTAATAAAATAGTTGCTACTAACTTTAATATTTATGGTTAAGACATTCAGGACAATTTATTGAAACTCTTTCAAAGAAAAGTTCCCTGTAACAGTTACCTGAAGTGACATATTTGCTGATTTGAAATATGGGTGATTTTAACTGGCTTCTATGACAGGCAGTGAGAAAAGGAATCAGAGATATGGAGAGAGGATAGTGAGAAAGGAAATGACAAAGATAGAGTGAATAAGAATGGAAGCTACACTGAAGTGAGAGGAAATGATAGACTGAAAGTTGGGAAGAGTGAGAGAGGTGAGAGAGACAAATATGGAGAGATACATAAGAGATGGAAAGATAAATGGGTGCAGCAGAAGAGAGATAGGAAGAGAAGGAAGTTAAAGGAGGAGAACATGAAAGAAACTTGAGTGAGAGAAGGTGAGAGAACGGAAGACATACAATGATAGAAGAGTGTAAGAGTGAGACAGATTGACAATGTGAGTAAGAGAAAAGGGGAAAGAACAAAAGACAGAGAGAGGGAAAAAGATACAAGTAAATTAGAGACAGAGAAATTTTAACCCACATAATCATAAACACACACACAAAACACTATTTTAAATTACCACATTCTCCGAGATGAGCCTGCCAATCTCATTTTGCAGAATGACATCTGGTTTAGCATCTGAGCCTAAGGACAGACTCTATACAGAGAAAAGACTATAAGCAATAAACATGTTTAATGCCAACAACTTTACACCATACACATACAGACAGAGAACAAAAGATACAGTAAGATAGAAAAGACAGAAAAATGCAAGCAGACAGACAAAAGAGGCAGACAAAGAGAGAGAGAGAGAGAGACATACATAAACAAAGACATACAGAGACAGGCAGGCAGGCAAGCAGACAGCCAGACAGACTCCTAAGAAGAAGACATTATAGGATAACCTCAACATCTTCTACCAATCTGTAACTGTCCATAGAGGATTAAACATTTACCACAAACACACAACATCCAGTGCCACCCACTGATCACTGCACCACTAACAATTCCTTCTAACAGTGATTGAAGCCAACAGTGGAAGATGATGGTCAAACATGATGAAGATGCTGGTATTAGTAGTGGTTGTAGTAGTTATCATGATGATGACTACTAAAGTGACAACTAAAGTGACAACTAAAGTGACAAGCATGTCAATATCTCATATAGTACCATGTGGAGAAAGGTTTGCTCCAACTAAAGTGACAAGCATGCCAATATCTCATATAGTACCATGATGATGATGGTGGTGGTGGTGGTGGTGGTGGTGGTGGTGGTGATAACATCTTACTTTTGTGATAACTTTATAATATTTCTATTAATGAATCAAGAATTGACATCCTTGCACTCAGGACATTCCAACACATGCTCTGTCTTTTTCCTCAGTTGGCAAGCCACAAAGAAAAGTTTCTACGCTAGCACTACCAGTTTTAACCTGTTTAAATCTGCCTGTGTTTTCCCCTCAGCAATAAATTATGTCCTAAACTTCAATTCAGCCCCCATTAAATCGCTCTTTATTTTCTAAAGGAAACAGAAGTGTACTTTACCTTCATGATAATCTTCTGCTCTTTTTTTTCTAAAGGACAGAGAAGTGTACTTTACCTTCATGATAATCTTCTGCTCTTTTTTTTCTAAAGGACAGAGAAGTGTACTTTACCTTCATGATAATCTTCTGCTCTTTATTTTCTAAAGGAAACAGAAGTGTACTTTACCTCCATAATAATCTTCTGCTCTTTTTTTTTCTAAAGGATAGAGAAGTGTATTTTACCTCCATGATAATCTTCTGCTCTACCTCCATGATAATCTTCTGCTCTACCTCCATGATAATCTTCTGCTCTTTATTTTCTAAAGGATAGAGAAGTGTACTTTACCTCCATAATAATCTTCTGCACTTTATTTTCTAAAGGATAGAGAAGTGTACTTTACCTCCATGATAATCTTCTGCACTTTATTTTCTAAAGGAAACAGAAGTGTACTTTACCTCCATGATAATCTTCTGCTCTTTATTTTCTAAAGGATAGAGAAGTGTACTTTACCTCCATAATAATCTTCTGCTCTTTTTTTTCTAAAGGATAGAGAAGTGTACTTTACCTCCATGATAATCTTCTGCACTTTATTTTCTAAAGGATAGAGAAGTGTACTTTACCTCCATGATAATCTTCTGCACTTTATTTTCTAAAGGAAACAGAAGTGTACTTTACCTCCATGATAATCTTCTGCACTTTATTTTCTAAAGGAAACAGAAGTGTACTTTACCTCCATGATAATCCTCTGCACTTTATTTTCTAAAGGATAGAGAAGTGTACTTTACCTCCATGATAATCTTCTGCACTTTATTTTCTAAAGGAAACAGAAGTGTACTTTACCTCCATAATAATCTTCTGCTCTTTTTTTTCTAAAGGATAGAGAAGTGTACTTTACCTCCATAATAATCTTCTGCTCTTTTTTTTCTAAAGGATAGAGAAGTGTACTTTACCTCCATAATAATCTTCTGCTCTTTTTTTTCTAAAGGATAGAGAAGGGTACTTTACCTCCATGATAATCTTCTGCTCTTTATTTTCTAAAGGACAGAGAAGTGTACTTTACCTCCATAATAATCTTCTGCTCTTTTTTTTCTAAAGGATAGAGAAGTGTACTTTACCTCCATGATAATCTTCTGCTCTTTTTTTTCTAAAGGATAGAGAAGTGTACTTTACCTCCATAATAATCTTCTGCTCTTTTTTTTCTAAAGGATAGAGAAGGGTACTTTACCTCCATGATAATCTTCTGCTCTACCTCCATGATAATCTTCTGCACTTTATTTTCTAAAGGAAACAGAAGTGTACTTTACCTCCATGATAATCTTCTGCTGATGGTCATTTTCTTCCTTCAGCCTCTTGAGATCCTCGGCCCACTCTGCTTCCTTGCTTTTCAAGTTACGTTCTGTCTTGTCCAGCTGAGTCTGAAGAAGTCTGTAAGGGAAATAACCATACACACATTTCGATAAAATATAATTAACAGTTGTATGATTCATAGGTAGGCATCTGTGGCTTAGGTATTACAAATATGCTTTATAATTAAGAGGCGCTAGTTTGGATATCAGCTGTGGGAAGTTCGACAGCAGACCACCTAGCGCTGGTTTTGACAGTGGTATCAAGTGCTGACCATTCAGAAGTAATGACAAACTACAGAACATAGAATTGCCTAGAGAAATCATAAACAGCCATGAAAATGTCTAGGGTTGGTTCTGCAACTTCCTGTCAAGTATACGCAACTAACTATGCTTCGCAGGAAAGTAATCTGTAATGAAATTAATCCCATACATTTAATCTTAAGCGAAATTTTTAGACATCAAAAAAGTTTGTCATCTATTTTTTTTTCTTTTCTGTTTTAGACTAAAATATAGTCTTTATTGGCTATAGTTTCTATTATTTTGCTTCAATGAGATGTCAATAAAAATTGGTTTACATTTTCCATTCCTTTCTCATTTTTTCTGATGTTATCTCTCCACTTTATTCTTGGTCTACCTCATTCTGTGCATCCATATTTTCTTGTGGTTTATGCCATGTTTTACTTTCTGGTTTGTTATGAGTGACCATTTCTGATATTCCTAGCATAGGTGGAGATGACAATATCCCAGCTTGACCCAGCAAACTGAGTACCAAACTGAGTACCAAACTGAGTACCAAACTGAGTACCAAACTGAGTACCAAACTGAGTACCAAACTGAGTACCAAACTGAGTACCAAACTGAGTACCAAACTGAGTACCAAACTGAGTACCAAACTGAGTTAAAAGATGATATCATAAGGCATTTTTTCTAAATCTATTATCTAGACGTTTATATATTATGTTTTGTGGTTCGGGTCAAGATGGCGGGACATGTGTCCCTCTAGCTTGGCTTAAGACTGTTGATTGACGATTTGACAAGTAGCCATTATAGAGCTTTCTTTGTTTCAGAATCAGATTTCTAGCTCTAAATGTTATGATCCGTAGAATCATCATCAGGGAAGGCTCATTCATGGGCTTAATGAACATCCAAGACAAAGCACAATAAGCACAACAAATTGCCAGACATGAAGAGTTAGGACCTCTGCCCTATGCGCCGCCCTAGGCTAAAAAGAAAAGACTAGCTAGCTATACACAAAATTATCTAAGGAATTATGATGATAATTCAAAGTTACATTTTCTAATTTTATTGCAACCAAGTCTGTAGACTAACCTGTTGAGGTCCTTCTGTGTCTTGTATGCTAACTGAAGTTCATTATCTTCATTCACTAGATTATCTATGCCTCCATATGACTCTTTGGCTATGTGGTGGGTGGTTATGGTTTTGTCAGCAAGCATGGTCTTCAGCTGCAAGCATTCTTCTCTTCGCTGCTGCAGCTCCTTGCTCATGGACTCATACTGAACTGTTGATGATTATAACAAATAAACAGTCATAGTTTAATTTATTTGACTACTTGTCCACCTTCTTCCCAGTTGGCTCTCTCATATAGTAACATGTGGAGAAAGGTTTGCTTCAACTGAAGTGACAAGCATGTCAATATCTCATGTGGTACCATGTGGAGAAAGGTTTGCTCCAACTAAAGTGATGAGTATGTCAATATCTCATATAGTAACATGTGGAGAAAGGTTTGCTCCAACTAAAGTGACAAGCATGTCAATATCTCATATAGTAACACATGCAGAAAGGTTTGCTCCAACTAAAGTGACAAGCATGCCAATATCTCATATAGTACCATGTGCAGAAAGGTTTGCTCCAACTAAAGTGACAAGCATGTGAATATCTCATATAGTACCATGTGGAGAAAGGTTTGCTTCAACTAAAGTGACAAGCATGTGAATATCTCATATAGTACCATGTGCAGAAAGGTTTGCTCCAACTAAAGTGATGAGCATGTCAATATCTCATATGGTACCATGTGCAGAAAGGTATGCTCCAACTAAAGTGACAAGCATGTGAATATCTCATATAGTACCATGTGCAGAAAGGTTTGCTCCAACTAAAGTCACAAGCATGTCAATATCTCATATGGTACCATGTGCAGAAAGGTTGCTCCAACTAAAGTGACAAGCATGTCAAATATCTCATATAGTACCAAGTGGAGAAAGGTTTGCTCCAACTAAAGTGACAAGCATGCCAATATCTCATATAGTACCATGTGCAGAAAGGTTTGTTCCAACTAAAGTGACAAGCATGTCAATATCTCATATGGTACCATGTGCAGAAAGGTTTGCTCTAACTAAAGTGACAAGCATGTGGATATCTCATATAGTACCATGTGCAGAAAGGTTTGCTCCAACTAAAGTGGCAAGCATGTCAATATTTCATTCGGTACCAAGCATCTTTTCAGAGGTCCGTGATAGTCCTTTGAATATTTTCTCCAGTTATGCCGTGTGTGTGGGATATGAACAGGCGGACAGAATGGCTGTGGCTGCACCACAGGGTGGGTGATGAAGCGAAGAGTTCCAGTCCTGATGGTACCAGTAAATGTCTGATTGTACATCTGTCTCAACTTTCCCTTGAGTGTTGAGCGTCAGCCAAATCCCCTGGTAACTCCCCTCAGTGGGATTCTCCTCAGACCGTAATGATCTATTTGTGCCTTCACGCTGTTCACCCCAAAAAAGGACCCACACAACTTCTAGCTTGTCACACATAAATTCACCACCAGTGGTGTAGAAGCAGCCAGTTTGAGTGCCTACTGAAACAGAGATTTTAGGGATTTAACCCGGGTTTCTGGGTTCTTTTTCTTCACTTCATCTTGTACCACTTTGGGTGTTGAGGGAACTATAACATTCTTTTTGTTCTGGCGGCCTGACCAAAAACACAGCATACTGTTGTAGAGTTTCTCTGATGTTATCTGTCCATATTGATTTTGCTTTGTCTTCCTCTTGTCTTCTGGTGTATGCCTTGTCTAGTATGGTGTTGCAAGGCATTCTCTCTAACTGAGCAAACCTTTTTGGACTTCTTTATGTGTAATTAAGCACTGGTTCTGTGCTGATATTTTTCTCTTATGACTTTTCTCCTGCTTGTTATCTCTTCTAGTCACTCTTGTAGCCTTTCTCAAACATCAAATTTTCATGGTTACTAATTTTATTTTCTGGTTTTTATGAGTGACCATTTCTGATATTTCTAGCATAAGTCTTTGAGTCCCAAGGAATGCATCATACGTTCATATGTTCTCACCTAGAGGCCCAATGAACGCAAGATGCGAAGATTTTGCATCTCTCTTGACTACCCCTTGGGCCTCTGATGCTAAACCGCCTGGGATTCAAAGAGATAAGGTGGAGATGAAAATATCCCAGTTTGACCCAGCAAACTGAGTACGAAACTGAGTTAAAAGATGATGCTTAAGGAGCAAGATCACAAACTAAAAAGGGCAAAGCATTCTGCATACTGTATGCACTGAATGACTGGAGGTTGCTTGTTTACTGAAACAGCTGCTTTCAAATGATTTTCACCAGTTATTTGCAGACAAAAGGATATAGTTGTAAACTTCAGGTTACATGGTAAAACAGGCACCCACATATAAATGTAGTGTATATTTGTATTTCTTTTAAAATTATTCACTTTACGACATCACATTTTTAAAAAAAATTCTGTTGCATAAGGTTGAGGTTAAAGTCGATAGGACTGACTTCATTGCTCCAGGTTTTATCCTAAATAGCTCAGTCTCTCTCCACAGAATGACTATCTGCCTGCCTAGAACATCACACAATGCATGAACTTTGTAGCTCCGGTGACGATCCCCAGGGATCGTAAAAAATTGCACTTGTGAACTGAACGGCGCCATTGTAAAATAAACCCATGACCTTCAGAGCGCGAGAGAAATGGCTTGACCACTTCGCCACAAGCTGAAGTGTTTTCTTGCTGTCTGCGTGCGTTTCCTTACATAAAGCTTCCTAACATCTTTTTTTTTTTTTTGTTGCTTTTTTTCTTAAACCATCCCCCCTCCCCCACCTCCCCCCCCCCCCACACACACACACACACCAATGCACAAACGTATTCACACACATACATACACCACAAAAGTATACACACATACAGACAAAAGTGACCTTAACGAAAGCTTATAAAACAGACAAGACAAGATTGTTTATATATATGCAAATAATGACTGAACCGTACCCAGAAATTCACTGGCTGCCTTCGAGTTGACTTTCTTAGATGAGCCACTCAAATCAGAGGATTCAGAAATTGACGTCATGAGTTTGCCGATTTCACGTCTGAGCTTGTCATTCTCATTCTGGAGATCTTGCATCTGCGAAGATTACAATTCCCATGACAAATTTGATATATAGGAGTGTCAAGTATTTGACATTAACAGAGAATTACCTCTCCCTGTTCCAAATGTTTGGCCCTATATCAAGGTCACCCACTGCCATATCCTTGTTTCTAGAAAATCGTCTTTCTCTCTAAAGCGGCAAATGAAAATTGTGTAGGTGTACGAAAAGTAGTATTTCATTCTGAACTATCTGGAGTAGGAATTCACATGTGCGTCTTTTTTATATTGTAAAGTCATTTTTTTAAAACTGAAAACACACTAAGGTGACAATTGTCTTGACTGCACCTAGGTGATTTTGGTATGGTGCCAACTGATTTATGCAAACCTTTGTATCCTATCTGGTCAAAAACAAAAATCACTTCAAAATGTGCCATATTTCAGGGAATTTTTAATCTTTTTCACTCAAACTTGAGATTTTTGTTTTTCAAAACAATGTGTTTCCCCATTGTAAATTTAAATGATGTGGACCCAAACTAAACATTGCAAAATTTATTGCCTGGAATATTTTGCTGTATCTCAACAGGCGCATTACTACAGAGTTAAATCAACGTATAATTGAAACTGATTTCTCTTGCTTTATGTTCACACACACACAAAAAAGGATCACATAGTAAATTTCAAGTTATCATGGTAATCATGTAGCTGAGCTTGAATCTCCGGTGGAGAAATAAACATTCTAACCTGACAAGGTGGTTTATGCATTCAGTTAAAAAAATAAAAAAACAAAAAAGATTCAATGTTATGCTTCCTTACATGTTGATTTAACTTTTTAATGATGCTAAAAAGTACTAAATGCACCAGAAAATGTGACTAGAAAGTTCAATGGAGAGTCTAAATTAGGCGCACAAATACAACCTGATGTTTCGACCATAGTTTTTATCAGTAAAGAACTAACTACAAAACAAACTTCTTATTCTTCTGCCTTCTATCCCCCAATGGAGCACAGGCCCTTCAACCAACTCATGTCAAGTCATTATATCCTTCGCTATTGCATGCAGCTCACCCCATGCCCTCCCCATCTCTTCAACTTAGCTCCATAGTTCCCTTCTCTGTGTGTTTTTTTGGTCTGCTTTTATTTCTATGCTGGCCCTGTGGGCTCCAGTGCAAAGATATTCCAGTTGTATTTTTCTCAGATTTGTCCTATCCAACACCAGCCTTTTCTTAGCCTCAAAGGCTTGCTTCCAATTGCCTCTTCCTCGCTGTCCTTGTGATGTCAATTGCATTGCCTGTCTCGGCCGTCTCTCTTTCTTTATTCTGAGTAGGTGGATGTCATATCAAGCATATTTACTTTATCTCGCATCTGATTCCATGGTTGGAGGGAAGAGAAATATCATCAGCGAAGTCCAGATCATCAAGCTGTTTTGTAGGGGTCCACTGAATTCCAGTCCTAGTGTTAGCAGTTACTGTCTTCATAATCCAGTCTATTGCCAGTGAAAAATTGACAAAATACATACCTATTATACACCGCTTCTTCTTTCCAATGTTAAACAAACTGTGACAAGAAAATCAAATGGTATGTAGTGATGCACCCAATAAGAAATACTGAAAATAGACAATAAATTGTGCAATGTATGGCACTGGTATTCAAAGAGTAAACTCCCTACCTACTCACCCTGAGAGCATAAAAAGCAGAATCTGGAACAAAGGAGCTGTGTTGTGTCTCCTCCATCTGTTCCATGGACTTCTTCAGTTGGTTCTTTTCCTTCTCCAGCTGTTTCACTCTGTTGTGCAGCTTCAGTATGAGGCCAACATCCATATTTTTAGTGAGTTTCTTGGATAAAAAGCACACACAATATACATACATGTTTACATTACAAAAATTCTGTCACTACAAAGGTTGCATAAAAATTGGAATACAATTCCTTTACAACATAAAGATTGTATAAAATAGAGATAAATCAATTGCTAAACTAAAAGCTACTAGAGAATTATAATTCATAGCTAAAGAAAAAAGAGATTTTTTTTAATGACCCCCTTCCCCCTTTTTTGGTGCCCCCCCCCCCCCCCCCCCCCCCCCCCCCCCCAAATGCTATTTTGAGTAAGCATAATCATACCAGGACCTGCTAAACTCTGCGCAGGCACAAACAGAGCCAGTGCGGTTAACTAGGTTTGTCTGGGACTGGCCACCGCAGCAATGCCTCTTATGTGGCTTCTTTTTGATTTGTAATGGTTAGAAATGCCGGTTTGTGGGATAGAAATAATAAAAGTAAACTTCTTCTTCTTCCGTGTTCACCTTTAAAAGAATGGCTGGCATACTGTTTTGTTGTTTACAGCTAGGCTGTGATAGCTGCACTTTTTAGCCCAATGCATCCAATTTCAGCAAATTTGATTACACGCCCTTTACGACATGCATGTTAGGGGCATTGTTTTGTTTTTTCCCCCCAAAGCTGGTGCCCTGGAACCGGCATGAGGAGGATTACCTCTTTCAGAACCAAGCAGTTCACCATGTATATTTTGATATAAACTGACTAGTCTTGTGCACAGATTGAGTTGAAGTAACAGCCTGCTTGATATGGAAAGAGTTCAGGATAATTTTGTGTACCAACCTTATCGCCGTCCTCCCTTTGCTCAACTTCAGCACCACTGCTGTTTTCAGAGTCAAAGCTAATGGCGCTGGTATCAGACGGGGTGTGTCGATGGCCTTTTCTTTTGCCAGTTAGGTTCTAATAAAAATAGGAAAGATATAGAGTACATGTCATTTTTACAAAACCACTTACAATAAACAAATGACATTCCAGCCATTAGTTTTCATCAGTAAAACAACAATAAAAAACAAAAAACTATAAATAAATGACATTGGAGCAATTAGTTTTCATCAGTAAAACAATAAAAAACAAAAAACTATAAACAAATGACATTGCAGCAATTAGTTTTCATCAGTAAAACAACAATAAAAAAAAACTATTAACAAATGACATTGCAGCAATTAGTTTTCATCAGTAAAACAACAATAAAAAACAAAAAACTATAAACAAATGACATTGCAGCCATTAGTTTTCATCAGTAAAACAACAATAAAAAAACAAAAAACTATAAACAAATGAATGGACTCTAAAATGACTACATTAAGGTATTCAAAAATTGTCTAAACTTAATATTACAAAGCAATGGTATTAAAATGACAAAATTATAAAAAGTATGTGATACGTACCTGGATCTTGGGAAGTAATTGAAGGAAACAAATAAAACAGGCCCTTTTTATAGTAAACCAGGAGATGGTTAGTCTTCTTCTTCTTCTTCGCGGTCACCAGCTGTAAACTCTGGCGGAAAGTTCTGGTTGTTCATCCACTTCTGGACTGCAGTCCCGTTCCAAAACTTGAGTGTTGCGTGTGCATCCGTTTTACAGATGACTCATTTGTGTGCAGACTGCTGGTTCCTTGCCTCTCAGGCAGATGCACTCCGACTTCGAAGAAAGCTCCCAATTAGTCGACTCTGACGACATGCTTTTGGGTAGGCAGTGGTTCTATTCTTGTTTTCCCTATAATAGGGCCCCGGAATCCACACAGGGAAGATGGTTAGTGAAATCTGATCAGTGAGAAAAGAGTGGGCGAGATATGTTCCTAACTATGAGATGAGATGAGGATGAGGGAACAAAGTGGGAAAGGGCAAACAGGAATGGGTGTGTACAGAGTGTAGGAAATGTACATAATGGAACGAGCATGAATGTGGATGTGTCCACAACCTGACGGTTTCTGATATGTCCACTTGTCATGCTTTTAAGGGGATTGCAGAATGACAGAAGGAGTGGTTCACCCTACGGTTAAGAACGCTGGGCTCTTATTGAGGGAGACCTAGGTTTGAATCATCTGTAAGGCTGGGTATTTTCTGTGTCAGGGGCAAAAATTAAATCATAACCTGCCCAGTCCATAGTGACAGCCCTAGCCATGCGCCCCTAAATCCTCAGGTTTAAACACCCCCTACCGCCGCTTCAACCTAAAAAAAAAACAAGCAGTAATGATATGTTTTTTTAAATTGCAGAATGATACTGTGTATACATGAAGGATAATGATTATAGGTTTTAGTTCCCTGGCAACCACTGGATACCAACATTTATAAGACCAAGAAGATGGTGCTATTATGGACATATCAAGAAAAGAAACCAGTAGAGAATCATCAAACAGGAACTGAAATGGGAAATAAAGGGATTAGGGAGGCAAGCATGTCCAAAAGAAACCCTAAAATGAACATTAGTAAAAAATGCCAAAGGTGCTGGACTGGATTGCATCCATGACATAGAAGAATTTGCACACGATAGAATGAAATGAAAGAATAGACTACGAGCTCTATGTGATTTATTATGACACTACAGGACAATAAGATTGAGGTCCTTTTGACAAAATAACAGCATGTAGATATATATATATATGTCTGTGTGTCTCTATTGGGATCTACAGTCGAACTAAATAGTTATGAAGTTACCAGCGCAAGATACTGCCATGTTAGGCCATCATACAAACTGAACTGCAGCTACATAAAAGGTAATTTATTTCTTTGTTAACACTTGTCAGAGATCCTGAGGCAACACGGACTAACAACAACACGTGCAACACACCTGGCCCAGGATAGAAAACTGCGACTCCCCACTACGCTGTGAGGCAATTGTGGACAAGACAAGACAAGACAAGACACTTGTCCTTATACAAATCTTCCCTTCATCACACATTTTGTATTACAAATTGTGTCCTTCGGTTTTCTTCTTTATCGTTCATCCAAGTGACATATAACTTAACTGCCTTGTGCCTGCTTATAGCAAAGCTGTGATATTGTCACCTTTCAGTCGACACATTCAATTTGAACAGGAATTCAGTGTCCGAGTTAGCTTTCCTGGTTGGTACGCTTAATTAACTCATTTAATTTCCAGGTTTTTTTTTTTTTTTTATCCTTTCATTTCGTCAGGTTTTCCTTTTGTCACACATGTTCATTTCCACAGATTTCTGCAAATGTTCCCATCGCTATCCCCATCCTTCCACAAATGATGTTCATTTTACTCTCTTTGCTTTCCTCAAATTGTTCCTTCGTTAGCCAATTTCCTACAGTTATTTTCTTTATAACATCCTTTTATCGCTTTTTTATTTTTTTTCATAAATGTACAGTACTCATTATTTTGTAATGCATTCTAAAATAAGTTTGCTGTGTCTGTGTGCACACTTACGCACACAATACATAAACAAACCTTAAAAAATGTCTAGGCATTGCCAGGAAAGGAATGATAATAACAATAAACTGGCTCATTATTTTGTTGCACACTCTAAATGTGTAAGTGTGTTTATACTTGTGCACAAAATGGACACACAAATCTCATCTTTATGATTCTGAAATATGACTTTCTTTAACTACACGCCTTCACTTAGTAACAATGCAGCAATATGACTGTATATGTTGTATACATGTATCTAACTAAATATTCCTAAAGATAGCTAAGTTAGGTTGAGTTTTAAGGACTGACATCATAGCACTCGCAACACTCCCATAAATGCTTCATCCCCATCTTCAGCAGCCAGCAAAGAGTTCCAACTCCTGTGGTACCAATAACAGTCTGATTCTAAGTGTGTCTTGTCTTTCACCTTAGTCTGGAGTGTCGGCCAGATCCCCTAGTCACTTCCTGTTGGATCATTCTTTTCAGACCATGATAATCTAAGTGTGCCTCCTTACAGTTCACTCCCTCCCAAAGAGCCTTGACAACATCTAGGTTATCATGCACACATTTACCACCAAGTGGTGCAGAACTGTCCTATTTGAATGCAGAACTAGAAACATGCATCTGCCATACATTGTTGAGTCCATACATTGTTGAGTCCATACATTGTTGAGTCCATACACTGTTGAGTCCATACACTGTTGAGTCCATACACTGTTGAGTCCACACACTGTTGAGTCATACATTGTTGAGTCCATACACTGTTGAGTCCATACACTGTTGAGTCCACACACTGTTGAGTCCATGAGTCCATACATTGTTGAGTCCATACACTGTTGAGTCCATACACTGTTGAGTCCATACACTGTTGAGTCCACACACTGTTGAGTCCATTCACTGTTGAGTCCAAACACTGTTGAGCCTATACACTGTTGAGTCCACACACTGTTGAGTCCATACACTATTGAGTCCATACACTGTTGAGTCCATACACTGTTGAGTCCATACACTGTTGAGTCCACACACTGTTGAGTCCATACACTATTGAGTCCATACACTGTTGAGTCCATACACTGTTGAGTCCATACATCATTGAGCTAGGAACCAACATAACAGCACGTGGGATATTCCCATCAGCTTTAATCAAATCTGTTGCACCATTCTTCCACAACATAATCATCTATTCACATTTCCAGATTGTATTTGCTCCCAAAGGCTTCCCAAAGATGGAAGATAACACAATTTGATTACTGAACATATTTTTAAAAACACTTATAATCTACACTCATATAATCTATTATAGTTAACACATAATCTATGCAATATTAACTAACAAAACATAACAGAAAAACATAAATACCTGATATTTTATTTATTTAAAAGACAAAAACTCTATATATCCCAGTATAAATAAGAAGGCTTGAATATTATACCACTGATTAAAAATCCTAAAAGTAAAAACAGACCTGCATCTCTTCCTGCAAGTTGTTGAACCGCTGCTGCAGATGGCTATATTCACTGATCAACTTCTGATGGTGTGATCTCTCCAGTTCAGACTCCTCAATGAGTAACTTGTTGGCCATTGCAATCTTTTCTTTCACAACTTCTGCATAGAATATATGTCAGTGACAGTTTACTGTCAGCTACATTTTAGTTTCAGATACAGTTTACTGTTGTAGGCGGGTGACCAACGCCTGTTGAATGATTTTAATTTGGCTGACGCAAACAAAAAAATCTGGCAAGTTCATGAGCATAAAAAGGACAAGCAGGAAATTTGGCCTCTTAGCCTCCTGCCCTCTGGACTGACCGGTCGCCCTGGGGATAGGGGACTGAGTAAAGGGGCGGGCTGACAATAGTTTCTTGGTGGTAGTACAGTTTGTAAACGGAATATAAAAATTTAATATTGTTTGTCCAAAAGCCCAGTGAAGATCAAAATCTGTTCTTGAATTTAAAGAAAACGAAAATAATGTCCACAGCTAAAAACTGACTGTCACACAAAAATAACAATAAATGATGAAAAAATTGAAAATGTCACAAACTTTGAATATCTAGGCTCTATAATAAACAACAATGGAGACAGAAATTAAAAGGAGGATGGCCATAGCAATGCAAAGATTGAACAGCCTTAAAAGTCTATGGTTAAGCACCAGCAAGGAAATAAAAAATAGAATTTTGAAAGCATGCATCTTCCCTGTGGCTACATACGGATGTGAGTCGTGGACTATCTCTCAGTCCTTACGAAAGAGAATAGGGGCTTTTGAGCTGAAATGCTATAGAAAGATTCTCAGAATATCTTGGACAAAGAAGATAAGAAATATTCACATCTTAAAAGATCTGAACATCAAGGAAGATTGGCTAATAAACAGCATCCTTTCTTGAAAGCTGAAATATTTTGGTCATATCAAGCGCCACGACGGATTGGAAAAAAATTATAGCAGAAGGCATGGTACCAGGAAGGAGGAGCAGGGGCCAACTGACACAAAGATGGGCACAGGATATAAGTGAATCCTTGAGTGTGAAAGTTCATGAGGTGGGACAACTGGTGAGAGACCGAGTTTCTTTCAGGCAGACTGTGATGAGAGCGATGTTCTGCAAAGGACCTGCTACATGATGATGATGATGGTAGTACAGTTCAGTGGTTACATGGTTTAAGATATAAATTTCCATAATAGTAGTTAACTCTAGTAGTTAAACTGTGTAGAGATAGATAACAGCGTGTATCATCGCTCGAAAATATTTTATTTCAGGTCACTGGAAGCGAATTTACACCTTTGCTAAATGAACTGCTTAGCACATGGTCTGAGTAAACGCGATGTTGGTTGTTAATGTAATGTTTTGTGTGAAGCACTTAGTTTTATGTTCAGGAAAATAAACAGACATTGAATGTGATGGTTATATTCAATTGCTTGATTCAAGATAGAACTTGTAGTTTGTGCATGTGGCCTGCCAAGGCGTTGCCTATGTTGCTGTAATAATGTCTTGTTGTTATTGTCGTGTAGCGTATTATTCACATATCCTCTTCCTGGGTTGTGTTCATATTTCATGGCCCCTGCACAGAAGGACCCTTGTCTTTTCTTTATTTTTCATGTTTTTGCTGTTTAGCAGGGAACTACTTGTTGTCCTTACCACATTTCTGTCCTCCTCTCCCTACTTCTTGATTTTCCTTTTTCTTTTTCCGGCTAGCACACTGTCATTTACAGTTTAATGTTCTGGCTGTTTGTCCACTAGAGTTTTATGTGCACATCCATTTGACAGATCTAGCTTATATGTATGCAGACTGTTGGTTTCTTATATCTGAGGCAGATGCACTCCACTTTTGAAAAAAACACTTAATTAGTAGCCTCCTAAGACATGCTTGTTGGGGAGGCAGTGGGTCTATTCTTGTTTTCCCCAAAATGGGGCTCCAGTACCCACATTGGAATAACTGAGGTTTCACAATAGCTTGTTCAACCTGGTCTATTTTAACATTGAATGTTGGATGGGGATTATCAAACTGGAAATCCTACACTGTGTCAGTGACTTGAGGCATGAGAGTACATTGGGGAGGATACTAGCCTTATCCTAGGAAGAGGAGATGCAACATAAACATTTATTGTTGTGACAGAGCAGACCAAGCCTTTGATCTTAGTAGCCAACTGGTCTTGGAGGGAAGCTTTGACAGGTGGAAAGGCAGAGATATCCTTTAAAGTCAAAGTGCATCTCCCTGAGAGGCAAGGAACCAACAGTCTGTAAACAGACAAGCCAGACTTGTAAAATGGATGTGCACACAAAAACTCAAGTTCTAGTACAAAACTTAAGTCCCAAAGTGGACAAATATCCAGAACTTTCTGCCATAGTTTACAGCTGGTGAATGCAGAGAAGAAGATAAAGAAACTCTGGTTCAGTCATGTAAGATAAAGACCTGACACCAAATTCTTTACTTTATGACTGACATGTTACTGTACAATTAAAAATATAAGACAACAAAAGACAACAAAACCTTCAGCTTTATCTTCCATCTGTTTAATAGTAGCATTGGCATCTTCCAGCTTCTCTGTCAGAGCCAAATTTTCCTTGTACAAGTTTTTCATTACCTGTACACAGAGAACATAAATGATAGCCATGGTTTTATGCTTACTTCTATACATAAATGTTAACTCACCATCACACAAGCATACAGGATATACATGCTGACTCACCAATACACAAGCATACAGGATATACATGCTCACTCACCAAAACACAAGCATACAGGATATACATGCTCACTCACCAATACACAAGCATACAGGATATACATGCTCACTCACCAATACACAAGCATACAGGATATACATGCTCACTCACCAATACACAAGCATACAGGATATACATGCTCACTCACCAATACACAAGCATACAGGATATACATGCTCACTCACCAATACACAAGCATACAGGATATACATGCTGACTCACCAATACACAAGCATACAGGATATACATGCTGACTCACCAATACACAAGCATACAGGATATACATGCTCACTCACCAATACACAAGCATACAGGATATACATGCTGACTCACCAATACACGAGCATACAGGATATACATGCTGACTCACAAATACACAAGCATACAGAATATACATGCTGACTCACCAATACACAAGCATACAGGATATACATGCTGACTCACCAATACACAAGCATACAGGATATACATGCTCACTCACCAATACACAAGCATACAGGATATACATGCTCACTCACCAATACACAAGCATACAGGATATACATGCTCACTCACCAATACACAAGCATACAGGATATACATGCTGACTCACCAATACACAAGCATACAGGATATACATGCTGACTAACCAATACACAAGCATACAGGATATACATGCTGACTCACCAATACACAAGCATACAGGATATACATGCTCACTCACCAATACACAAGCATACAGGATATACATGCTGACACACCAATACACAAGCATACAGGATATGCATGTTGACTCACCAATACACAAGCATACAGGATATACATGCTGACTCACCAATACACAAGCATACAGGATATACATGCTCACCAACACACAAGCATACAGGATATACATGCTGACTCACCAATACGCAAGCATACAGGATATACGTGCTCACTCACCAATACACAAGCATACAGGATATACATGCTCACTCACCAATACACAAGCATACAGGATATACATGCTGACTCACCAATACACAAGCATACAGGATATACATGCTGACTCACCAATACACAAGCATACAGGATATACATGCTGACTCACCAATACACAAGCATACAGGATATACATGCTGACTCACCAATACACAAGCATACAGGATATACATGCTGACTCACCAATACACAAGCATACAGGATATACATGCTCACTTACCAATACACAAGCATACAGGATATACATGCTCACTCACCAATACACAAGCATACAGGATAAATATGCTCACTCACCAATACACAAGCATACAGGATATACATGCTCACTCACCCATACACAACCATACAGGATATACATGCTCACTCACCAATACACAAGCATACAGGATATACATGTTGACTCACCAATACACAAGCATACAGGATATACAGGCTCACTCACCAATACACAAGCATACAGGACATATATGCAGACTCACCAACACACAAGCATACAGGATATACATGCTCACTCACCAATACACAAGCATACAGGATATACATGCTGACTCACCAATACACAAGCATACAGGATATACATGCTCACTCACCAATACACAAGCATACAGGATATACATGCTGACACACCAATACACAAGCATACAGGATATGCATGTTGACTCACCAATACACAAGCATACAGGATATACATGCTGACTCACCAATACACAAGCATACAGGATATACATGCTCACCAACACACAAGCATACAGGATATACATGCTGACTCACCAATACGCAAGCATACAGGATATACGTGCTCACTCACCAATACACAAGCATACAGGATATACATGCTCACTCACCAATACACAAGCATACAGGATATACATGCTGACTCACCAATACACAAGCATACAGGATATACATGCTGACTCACCAATACACAAGCATACAGGATATACATGCTGACTCACCAATACACAAGCATACAGGATATACATGCTGACTCACCAATACACAAGCATACAGGATATACATGCTGACTCACCAATACACAAGCATACAGGATATACATGCTCACTTACCAATACACAAGCATACAGGATATACATGCTCACTCACCAATACACAAGCATACAGGATAAATATGCTCACTCACCAATACACAAGCATACAGGATATACATGCTCACTCACCCATACACAACCATACAGGATATACATGCTCACTCACCAATACACAAGCATACAGGATATACATGTTGACTCACCAATACACAAGCATACAGGATATACAGGCTCACTCACCAATACACAAGCATACAGGACATATATGCAGACTCACCAACACACAAGCATACAGGATATACATGCTCACTCACCAATACACAAGCATACAGGATATACATGCTGACTCACCAATACACAAGCATACAGGATATACATGCTCACTCACCAAAACACAAGCATACAGGATATACATGCTCACTCACCAATACACAAGCATACAGGATATACATGCTCACTCACCAATACATAAGCATACAGGATATACATGCTCACTCACCAATACACAAGCATACAGGATATACATGCTGACTCACCAATACACAAGCATACAGGATATACATGCTGACTCACCAATACACAAGCATACAGGATATACATGCTGACTCACCAATACACAAGCATACAGGATATACATGCTCACTCACCAATACACAAGCATACAGGATATACATGCTGACTCACCAATATACAAGCATACAGGATATACATGCTGACTCACCAATACACAAGCATACAGGATATACATGCTGACTCACCAATACACAAGCATACAGGATATACATGCTCACTCACCAATACACAAGCATACAGGATATACATGCTGACTCACCAATACACAAGCATACAGGAAATGCATGTTGACTCACCAATACACAAGCATACAGGATATACATGCTGACTCACCAATACACAAGCATACAGGATATACATGCTCACCAACACACAAGCATACAGGATATACATGCTGACTCACCAATACACAAGCATACAGGATATACATGCTCACTCACCAATACACAAGCATACAGGATATACATGCTCACTCACCAATACACATGCATACAGGATATACATGCTCACTCACCAATACACAAGCATACAGGATATACATGCTCACGCACCAATACACAAGCATACAGGATATACATGCTCACTCACCAATACACAAGCATACAGGATATACATGCTCACTCACCATCACACAAGCACACAGGATATACATGCTCACTCACCATCACACATGCATACAGGATATATATGCTCACTCACCAATACACAAGCATACAGGATATACATGCTCACTCACCATCACACAAGCATACAGGATATACATGCTCACTCACCATCACACAAGCATACAGGATATACATGCCCACTCACCAAAACACAAGCATACAGGATATACATGCTAACTCACCAATACACAAGCATACAGGATATACATGCTGACTCACCCATACACAAGTATACAGGATATACATGCTGACTCACCAATACACCAGGATACAGGATATACATGCTCACTCACCATCACACAAGCATACAGGATATACATGCTCACTCACCAAAACACAAGCATACAGGATATACATGCTCACTCACCAATACACAAGCATACAGGATATATATGCTGACTTACCCATACACAAGTATACAGGATATACATGCTGACTCACCAATACACAAGCATACAGGATATACATGCTCACTCACCAATACACAAGCATACAGGATATACATGCTCACTCACCAATACACAAGCATACAGGATACACATGCTCACTCACCAATACACAAGCATACAGGATATACATGCTCACTCACCAATACACAAGCTTACAGGATATACATGCTCACTCACCAATACACAAGCATACAGGATATACATGCTCACTCACCAATACACAAGCATACAGGATATACATGCTCACTCACCAACACACAAGCATATAGGATATACATGCTCACTCACCAATACACAAGCATACAGGATATACATGCTCACTCACCAATACACAAGCATACAGGATATACATGCTCACTCACCAATACACAAGTATACAGGATATACATGCTCACTCACCAATACACAAGCATACAGGATATACATACAGGATATACATGCTCACTCACCAATACACAAATATAGAGTTCTTAGATTCTATGACAATTATCCTGTCAAAGGGTTCAGATTCTATGAAGAATATTAAGTCTACAACTTCACAGACTGTATGAAGATTGTCCGGTCAACAAGTTCACAGACTGTATGATGTTTGTCTAGTCAACAACTTCACAGATTGAATGAAGATTGTCCAGTTAACAAGTTCACAGATTGAATGAACATTGCCCAGTCAACAAGTTCACAGACTGTTAGAAGATTGTTCAGTCAACCAGTTCACAGATTATCCTGTCAAGAACTTCACAGAATCTATGAAAATTATCTTGTTAGTTTCGATGTCAAGATGGCAAGGCAAGTGGATGTTTATTTTTCAGCCAGCATCTAGCCGGAGTCAGTTTCGGACAACCTAGAGTGGAAGCTGTGTTATACTAGCTGAATGTGATAGTCAGTTCAAGTCTGACATCTAGCAAGTTTGAAAACACTGTGACTGATCCAGCAAACTGACTATGGTTTATTCAGTGCTTGAAGAAAAATTAAGAAATCTCCTGAAAGGACTAGAAAACAGAAGTGATGACATTCTCCAGAAAAGGAAGAACCAGCAATATCAAAGTTGATGAACATCAGGTAAAGTAGGCCAAGGACTTGACATATCTGGGAAGCATTTGACAACAGCAGGAGAGTTGGCACAGAACCTATAGTGAACTTTATCGGTAGACAACAAATCAGGTAGTTTGGCTGTGTAACAAGATTGGCTTCAGACAGGGTACTACAGAGAGCTACGCTATACAGATACAATAGTAGCAGAGCCAGTGGCCGACCTATTGACAGCAAAAATATCAAAGACACTGAAAAGTTCTATAAATGAAGCGAATGGAAGGGCCTGTTTCAGAGATCTCTTCCTGTCTTAACATGAAAGGCATTTCAGGAGTAGAGAAAAGAGGAAAAAGAAGAAGTGCAGTTGTTGATTTTGTGAGACTTACTTGTTCTTCTTCTTCTTCGCGTTCACCAGCTGTAAACTCTTGCGGAAAGTTCTGGTTGTTCGTCCATTTTTGGACTGCAGTCCTGTTCCAGAACATGAGTGTTGCGTGTGCATCCATTTGACAGATCTGACTCATTTGTATGCAGACTGCTGGTTCCTTGCCTCTCAAGCAGAAGCAATCCGACTTTGAAGGAAGCTCCCAATTAGTCTACTCTTACGACATGCTTTTGGGTAGGCAGTGGGTCTATTCTTGTTTTCCCTATAACAGGGCTCCAGAACCCACACAGGGAACTTACTTTTTCATAATGTACTTTCATCTGCTCTTTCTCTGTAATCCAGTCTTGCTTCTCCACTTGCATCTTGTCCAGCTCTGATTTTAGTTTAGCCAGCTCCTCCTGGCATGAACAAAAACCAGAAAATGTCAAACTGGATGATGTAACAAAAAACATGGGGGGAACTGGGGTAAAGAGCAGGGGGCGATTGGTGTTGGGGAGATGGGGAGATAAATATCAAAATGCCCCCCCCCCCCCCCCACAAGCATAAGTAGGGCAAGAAACGGCTATCCTCCAACTAACGGTCGGCAAAGATGGCGGCCGCAAAATATCCAGCCGAGCCGCAGTCAAGTGTCAATTGCGCGCTTCCGGCTACTTAATGTGCGCTTTTCTGGCGACTATGGCTACCGCCACGTGACCCCCCATGCCGCTCACGTGGCGTGGATTAGAGCTAAACTAGATGGCTAGGACTCACGAGCAAGGCTGCAGGAGATGAGCGGCGTGGGGGCCACATGGCGGTAGCAGTTGTTCGCCGAAAACCGCCGGAAGACCGCAAATTAAGTAGCCGGAAGCGTGCAATTGACACGTGACTGCGGCTCGGCTGGATATTTTGCTGCCGCCATCTTTGCCGACCGTTAGTAGGAGGATAGCCCAAGAAACATTTGGGTTCAGACAACCAGAACATCAATGATCGGGATAGGCTCTAAATTCAATTTTAGAAAGGATTCACAAATAAACAAACAAAATACAAAATAGCCAACCATCCAAACAAACAGTGAACTAACAACCAGCCAAAACACCATACAGTGAATCAACCAGCCAGCCAACCAACTATCCAGCTAATCCTAACCAACTTCCAATAAAACCACGAAACAATAGCCTGCCAAAATACTTTTAAAAAAACTAACAACAAAAACAGTCAGCCAGACAGGCAATCGGTCAAAGCTGCTGTAAACTAGAATGTCTCATGACAAAATGAAGTGAATTAATTAGTGCCTGGTAATGAAACAGTTACAGCAATACGTCACCCTCATTATCATTATCATCATCATCATCATCATCATCATCATCATCAAGTATTTCAGCCCTTGGCTATTCCCTCCCACATTTTATCCTTTTTGTTTCACTCTCTGTGCATGCCGGTTAATAAATACTTTTATTGGTCTTCTCTTTTTTTTTTTTAAATGTTCATTAAAGAAATGCAAGGTTTTAAAAAAAGAAATTACTGCTTCTCCCTATTCTTCTACTTTTGCTGCTTTTGTCCCCAGAAGAGCAGCTGGCATGTAACTTGCACAAGAAAACTACAGAAACAAAATTAAATAACATACAAAGCAAATTAAATGAAACAAAAAGAAATGTAGATGGTACAGAAAGAAATGTAAATGATACAGAAAGAAATGTAAATGATACAGAAAGAAATGTAAATGATACAAAAAGAAATGTAAATGATACAGAAAGAAATGTAAATGATACAGAAAGAAATGTAAATGATACAGAAAGAAATGTAAATGATACAGAAAGAAATGTAAATGATACAGAAAGAAATGTAAATGATACAGAAAGAAATGTAAATGATACAGAAAGAAATGTAAATGATACAGAAAGAAATGTAAATGGTACAGAAAGAAATGTAAATGATACAGAAAGAAATGTAAATGATACAGAAAGAAATGTAAATGATACAGAAAGAAATTATATAACACACAAAGACAATTAAATGATAGGGAAAAAAATTTAATGATACAGAAAGAAAACTTAATAACACAGAAATAAAATATTAAATGATACAGAAAGAAAACTAAATAAGACAGAAAGAAAATATTAAATGATACAGAAAGAAAACTAAATAAGACAGAAAGAAAATATTAAATGATACAGAAAGAAAAGAAAGTAATACAGAAAGAAAACTAAATATACAGAAAGAAAGAAGGAGAAAAATAGTTAGAAAGAATATGTAAATGAAAAATATAATTCCCTTGACCTCCATATCAACAACTTTATTCGATGAGACTTGAACTACTGCCTCTACGTTTCTCAATCTGTCAATCTCCTCTTTCATCTTCACCACTTCTGCTTCTACAATCTTCACTTGCATTGCCTGTTTGGTCTGAAGAAAGCATCAGTTTGAATTAAATAAATATTATGTCAACGTTCATATTAAGGCATTAAGTGGTAGTATTTGCTTGTGGGGTGTATTCATGGATAAATGGATTGGTGTCTGTGTGGGTAGGTATGAGAGTTGTTTGGATAGATGGATGATAGTGTGGTTAGGTAGTAGATGTACGTGTGGATGGGTGGATGGCTGACTAGATGGATGATAGTGTGGTAAGGTGATAGATGTAGGTGTGGATGGGTGGATGGCTGACTAGATGGATGGATGAATGAGAGTGTGGTTGGGGGGGGGAAGGGGGGGGGGGAGGATGTAAATGTGGATAACTGACAAGATGGATGGATGGATGGATGGATGGATAGGTGGGTGGATGGGTGGATGGATGGATGAGTGAGTGAGTGAGTGAGTGAGTGAGTGAGTGAGTGAGTGAGTGAGTGAGTGAGTGAGTGAGTGAGTGAGTGAGTGAGTGAGTGAGTGAGTGAGTGAGTGAGTGAGTGAGTGAGTGAGTGAGTGAGTGAGTGAGTGAGTGAGTGAGTGAGTGAGTGAGTGAGTGAGTGAGTGAGTGAGTGAGTGAGTGAGTGAGTGAGTGAGTGAGTGAGTGAGTGGTAGATGGACGAGTGAGAGTGAGGGTGGGTGGATGTACAAATGAGTGTATGGATGGACAGATAGGTGGGCATGTGGGTGCGTGCGTAAGTGCATGCATGGATGTATGAGTTTACTGATCAATGGGTGGGATGGCTTTCTGTATCACTGAATGTGTAAGTCTATAAATGTCTGTGAATTCCTGAGCTTGATGCTACTTAAACTAACAACACAGTTTAATCCAAAATGCTCACCGCTTGTCACACCTGCAGTGTAAAAACAACAAAAGCTAGATTTGTGTCTTTTTCAGGACACTGCAGAACTAACCTTAGCATTTTTTGGTTGTTTGTTTGATTTCACTAGGCAAGTTTCCTTTCAGCTGCTGTCCACTGCATGCTAAATGGTCTGCTCTTACTACCAGGGCCAAAACCAACAAAAGGCAGACTTCATGCACAGCTGGATTTAACCTGATATCTTGGAAATATGAAATGCATTCACAACCCCTGAGCTACATGCTGACAACTGCAGTTTACCTGGATGCTTAATCTAATAGTCTCAGTGTTGTTCACACTGGCAGTTTACCTGGATGCTTAATCTAATAGTCTCAGTGTTGTTCACACTGGCAGTTTATCTGGATGCTTAATATAATATTCACAGTGTTGTTCACACTGGCAGTTTACCTGGATGCTTAATCTAATAGTCTCAGTGTTGTTCACACTGGTAGTTTACCTGGATGCTTAATCTAATAGTCTCAGTGTTGTTCACACTGGCAGTTTACCTGGATGCCTAATCTAATATTCACAGTGTTGTTCACACTGGCAGTTTACCTGGATGCTTAATCTAATAGTCTCAGTGTTGTTCACACTGGTAGTTTACCTGGATGCTTAATCTAATAGTCTCAGTGTTGTTCACACTGGCAGTTTACCTGGATGCTTAATTTAATATTCTCAGTGTTGTTAACACTGGTAGTTTACCTGGATGCCTAATCTAATATTCACAGTGTTGTTCACACTGGCAGTTTACCTGGATGCTTAATCTAATAGTCTCAGTGTTGTTCACACTGGTAGTTTACCTGGATGCTTAATCTAATAGTCTCAGTGTTGTTCACACTGGCAGTTTACCTGGATGCTTAATTTAATATTCTCAGTGTTGTTAACACTGGTAGTTTACCTGGATGCCTAATTTAATATTCTCAGTGTTGTTCACACTGGCAGTTTACCTGGATGCTTAATCTAATAGTCTAAGTGTTGTTCACACTGATAGTTTACCTGGATGCCTAATTTAATATTCTCAGTGTTGTTCACACTGGCAGTTTACCTGGATATCCAACCGTTGTTGTAATTCAATGATCTTGTTTTCCAGACCCTGGTTGACTTGTTTTATGTGGTCTACTGACCTGGCTTCCATCTGCAGGAGAAAACATTAACCAGATTTGATTCAAACCAACTTGGAAGTAAGTAAACACAAAACAGTCTATGAATAGTATGTCCAGTGGATGGGAAGGAAAAGTGAGTGAGTGACTTTCAATCCCACCGGGACGGCACAACGTGCAACTACTCTAAGTGACACAAATTGCTACCATTTGGATGAAAATCACCCAAGTGAAAGTCCTAGAAACCCTGTTCATCCGTTAGGTTATTTTAGGACCCCCGACTACAGCCGGGGTGGGGCTTTGAAAAAATAAAAAAATTGTGTCAACTATTGGGGAGAGGTTTCTTATAGGAAGGAAAACATGCTCACAATTGTAGCCAAATGTTTCAATGAGGGTCTTTGTATATGGACATAAATCTGACTAATTAAACTCAACAAGTGGAAAGGAAAAGATAAGCACATATAGAATAATGTTTTGACCTGACTCTTTATCAAGGAGAGAAACAAATTACTAAACAACTGATGAAGTCAAGATGCAAGCCGAAATCATTTATTTTTCCCTCTGTAAAACTGACTAGTCATTGTTTTGTGTTATTTCGTTATATCAGCTCAATTGCAAAAACACCTGCAGAAAATATGTCAAATTATCTAGCCCTACTATCGATCATATACCGCGATCGAAACCCACTGCAGGCTGCGTGGATTTTTGTCGTGGTATGGGACGTCGCAGGTCGACCCAGCCTAAAATAGGTACCAGGATGGGCTGTCCTGGGAGAGTAAAGACAGCCGGTGTAATGCTGACCACATTACCCACAGAGTGCTGATGGTCTGTAAAAATATGGGACGCTCTGCCCATATGCCCGATGCGCTGAAAGGCGTGAAAAGGGATCTTTACTTTTTTTACTTTACTATCGATCATCTGGGTGCTACAGGGGTCCTCACAGGAAGCAGAATACTAACACTGCAACCAATCAAGCATGTCCTTTTGTGACTTAGAAGAAGAATCCATTGAAGTGGCAGAATATTTGTCCACCTGTTTGGCACTTGGCAGCAGGTGATGGGTTGAGTTGGAGAGTAATTGACAGATAGTGACATGCTTGTTAAGTTGGCAGTGGGTCTATCCCTCCCACCCCCTCCCCCCCCCCCAACCCCACCATAATGGAGCCCGGAACCCACACGGGGAGATAACAATTTAAGAGACACACCATAAAAGAGTCTGGAGGCTTATCAAGAAGAAGAAGAGAAAAATAAAAGAAAGAAGAAGAGAAGGAGAAAAGGAGGAGGAGGAGGAGAAGGGGATAGGATGAAGTGGGAGAAGAAGAAAAGAATGATAACAAATACAAAATGAATATCCTACTTTAAGCAGCTTGTACTCTGTCCTAGCCTTGCGTCTGCGGAAATTGCACTGGGTCAGTATAATTCCCCGCAAAACACACTCAAATTTCTGTCTCTGCAGGTATGCTCTAATGTTCTTTTGTAGAACCAGGGCCTTGTGGTTACGCAGCAGATCTGTGTAGTACCTCCTGGCAATCATTGCTCGCACGTGAGCCTGGCATGGAATTGAAACACATTTTTAGACAGTTTATTTTTAATCATTGATAAATGGATGCATAGGTATTTGCATGACTGGATGGCTAGATCTAGCTTATATATATAAATATATATTAAATTTGGGTAGAGTTGGAATCACATTGAGCCGGGAGTGCAGGGAGAGGCTAGCTGGTGACACGGATGTGGAAATTCTGCAATTAATTCAAGATAATGCTTGTTCAGAGGATGTGATTATTTACACAAACGGTTCGGTGTCAAGGGGCAAAAGAAGTGCTTGGGGATTCATAACAAAATCCAGTGGTTGACGTTTGGTGCAGGAGAGCCTAGTGTATGATACCACAACATCCACCCTAAGAATGGAGGTGGAGGCAGTCACTGCAGCTTTCAACTGGTTAGAGAACATAACACATACACACACACATCATGTTTTTAACTGACTCAGAAAGTGTGTTGAAGAAGGGGAGGACAAGCATGCTGAGTGGCATGCTTCGCTTCGGAGGTCACTGGTGAGAAGCATTGCCTGGATTTTTCTTGGGGCATGCCAGTGTGCTGGGAAATGAACAGGCAGTCAGATTGGCTGGTACTGCACAACTTGGTGGAATACTGATGCATCAAGGCATATTAAGGCAGACGTGGTTAGGGTCTTGTGGGAGAATGTGTACAATTTAGAGGAGCAAACAGATCGCCACAGTCTGGTGACAGTGATGTAGCGGAGGTTGATGGGGGGGAGCTGGTTGATGCTTGACGCTCATAGGAGAGACAAGACACACGCACAATCAGAATGCTGTTGGCACCATTAGTATTGGAACTGGGCTGGCTGCTGAAGATAGGGACTTTTGGGAATACCCCAAGTGCTGTGATGTCGGTTCTTGAATCAACTCAACTGGAAGGCTAGAAAAAGGGATTAGTTAATGGAGAAAGAATGAACAAAATAGTTGCACGCTGAAATGGATAGATGGACAGATGGATAAAGAAAGAAAATAACTGATTGGGTGGATGTATGGATGGATGGATGGACGGATGGATGGATGGATGGAGAGATGGATGGATGAATGGATGGACAGACAGATGGATGGATGGATGATTGGGAGTTTGATGGATGGATGATTGGGATTTTGATGGATGGAAAACTTGAGAGACTGATGCATGATGAATGGATAAATGGAATGACAAATGGATAGAATGATGGATGGTCAATTGCCTTAATCAATGGTTAATTTACTTTGCTCCCTGTGACAAAATGGCCTCAGTGTTTTCAGAAGTTATTATGTTTAATAATTGTTTCTGTTTAATAAAGAAACGAAGAATGATATTTACTATGCACTAAGCCCAATTACTTAAACCATGTGGGAATTAAAATTGTTTCCAGTCTTAGCCCAGACAAAGAATCTCGTCCTGGCCTACGGTTACATAAGATTACTACCCAGTCTACCTGGGGAAAACAGACCATAGGTGTCAGAAATGTTACATAATCAGCTCTGCAATCTGGCCAAACCATGGGAAGCAAGTCTGACCAGCATGAAAGTCTAGACATGATGGCTCTCTCTCTTTGATGGCTTTTAACACCTTTCAGTGACATTGAGAAGAGTTTGGTACAGATAAAGGGGAGAAGCTACTCTACAAACTGACAGGAGAGCGAAAGATTATCATCGCTAGGAGCCTATGTGATGTGAGTAAGAGAGATAAGCTATGTGTTTTTTTCCAGAATATGCATGTTTGGTGTAAGTCTAGACACTACACATATGTGTTTGTTTTAATTATTACAGTTCCCGATCGGGGCAAGGACCGATAAGTTCTTATCAGAAATAGAGGGCCTAAGTGTATAAACCTGTATGACATGGGAGATCAGCAACTGGAAAAAGCTAGGAAAAGCTAGGAAGGGCCTCAACCGAAGAATCTCTGAGGTTTCACTTGATAAAATTCATAAACTTACATTCAGTATTTTTGTTCGTTAACTTATCATTCTCACAAGATCACTCTAATCTCAGATACTCAATTCTCTAGCTGAAGCATCTCACTACCACCGTACCATCAACCAGTCATTGTTTGTTGAGATTGACGAATGTCAGCCAAATGATTGATAGTATAATAAATTTATACATCAAGTTTTATACTTCATTGTTTGTCCAAGTGTGTTTAACTAAACTGTTAGAATGAAATTTAGTGGAAGCTCTTTGAGAATTTTTTACCAGGAGGAAGTAGTCGGGAGGGGTCACATGCTGTGTGCAATCTATTAATTAGAATAATCTAGACATCTAAAACCCCTTTCCTTCTCCTGTGGGTACCAAGTGCAGTTGCAGTAAAACTCCTACTCATCACAAAATCATCTATCCACTCAGGGACTTGGGACACTCCCAAAGGACCCTCACAACATTTAGCTTGTCATACATCAATTCACAAGTCGGTTATCAGTTGCAGTTCCAGCATCGCAGCAAATGGGTCACCCAATAGTTGCTCACTTCCTGTGCCAACATACACCACACAGACTGCAGTCTCGACAAAGCCAGTAAAAAACACTCGCAAATACATAAGGCAGACATAAGAAGTGTTGACATAAACAGCCGGCACTAGAACTGCAGTTCAATGTTGATGGAAGCAGCAGTTACAACACATCAGTCATTGCACACATAATTAATTGCATAAGGCACCACCAGTTCTCTGTCAACAAGCCACATGCCATTTTCTGAATTTGCAGTTCACAACACAAATCACATCTGCAGCTCACTGCCAGGGAGTCATCTCAGTAGCTGATTGATGGCACTATGATTGTTGGTGGGCACAGGAATATAATGGTGATTACAACATAGATACCAGTTCCAGATGGGTTGAGTTGCATTGAGTTGGGTTGAGTCAAGAATTGACATCACAGCACTCGGGGCATTCCCATGCGTGCTTTGTCCTGTCCTCATCTTCAGCAGCCAGTGCAGAGTTTTAATACTGATGGTACCGGTCACAATCTGGTTATATGTCCGTCTTGCGTGTATTGAGCTGGCCAGACCCTCTGGTTACACCCAGGAGCCTAATTCTCTCCAGGCCATAATAATATTCTTTCTCTACTGATTCCGTAGCTTGTTCCCAAAGGGTCTTGACCACACCTGCTTTGTCGTGTTTCAATTCACTACCTAGTGGTGCAGACCCAGCCAGTCTGTCTGCCTGTTCATTACCCACCACACCGGCATGGCCTGGAGAAAAGATCTAAAGTATGCTCACTACCACTCTGCTCGAAGCATCCGTGTCTTTACCTTTCTCAGCATGCTTTCAGAGTCTGTTACTGTTACGACATGTGTATGCATCTTGTTCTCTAGCCACCGGGGAGCTTCAGTTACCCCCTCCATCTCCATTCTCATGCTTGCCACATGGACAAGCGTGAAAGATGGCTTGTCTCATGACATCATCATAAAATGTCTTAACAATTAGTGTGGGCAATCATTCCTCCCCACTGCCTGCAATCTCTAACAGCATGTTCATGTGTTGACATCTCTCCAAGCCAGACACAAGACTATCAATCATTTTCTATTGATGTCTACCTTTATCCCTCTTTCTACAACTCTTTTCAATGTTCACATGTTCACGTTTTTCTTTTCTCAGAAAATGACTTTAAAATGATGACTATATTCTTTTGGAAATGGCTAATAAAGATAGAACAAGAACATTAAATACAAGTAGAACATTATATACAACAATGACAAGAAGACAAAGTTCTTTGGGCATGCGATTAGAAAAGGAGCACTGGAAAACATTGCAATGACTGAAAAGATCCTTGGTAGAAGAGGCAGAGGCAGACCAAGAGAACTAATGCTGGATGGCTTAAGACAGTGGCAAGAAGGAATATCATCCATGGAAATGATCCAGACCACCAAGATCTGTGGTGATGCATGAACGCCTACACCAGCTAGCAAGACACTTGATGATGACTGAGTTCTCCTGATGCTTGTGATAAGTAGTCTTCAGACTCTGCAGGCATATTTTCTCTTAATCACTTCACTACAAAGACCTGATTGGTGAGGCCAAAGCTAGATTAAGGCATAAGCTAACTAAGCTGCAGCTAGGGCCTCACAATCTGAAGGGGCCTCAACAAATTCCTTCTTTTTTTTCTCTCAAGTGAAATTTTCTTTTAGTAGAGCCTTTGAGAAGATTATGTAATATTATGTATGTGATTTTGTAGACAAATTCTTTTTTTATTTCTTTTACTAAAAATTAAATGAAAATATATTTCCATTATAAATATATTTAAAAGGTGTATATATTTTTATAGTCGGCGTCTGTGGCTTAGGCATTGCGAACGAGCTTCGTAATGCCGGGTTCGATCTCAGCTGCAGGCCCTGCGCCTAGCATTGGTTTCAACAGCCATATCAAGAAGCCGACTGTCCAGAAAGCAATGGCAAACTACTGGATGTAAAATTTGCTTAGAAAAGCCATAACAGCCAAAAAATTCTGGAGCTAGTTCTGCAATGTCCTGTAAAGGGACACAACTAACTTTTATAAATTTTTAAGTCTTTCTGAAGTTAGCTGGTGTTATTTAAAACAATAGGTGCCTCATGGCTTTATATAGTCTAAGGGGCCTCATCAAGTCTAAATCTGGCCCTGGGTGAGGGCCAGTCTTTTATTAGCAGATGCAAAGTTGAAGAAAGGGGTAGACGACACTAACCTGAAGGATGACAACAGCAGAATACATGCTCTTGAACATCTTCCGTTGGCGGTAGCCTTTCCATACTGCCTGGATACGAGCTGCTGCTCTCATTCTCCGCAAATGTGTTGCATATCTGGCCAAAAGGAAAAGACCAATATTTAATATGCAAATATAAATTTACTGACTATGTTTAATTATTAGCCAATCAGGCATTGTAACAGATGTGATAAAATGTCTCTTCTTCTTCCTGTTTCTCACTCTTGATTCTTATCTTCTCGATCCCAATCTTCCTAACATATCTTTTTCCTCTCATCCTGTTCCTTCCATCTCTTAAGCTTCTTCCTTCTCATCTTTCTCTTATACCTCCACCTTTTCTTCCTTCATTTTTTTCCTTTTCCTCTTCTTAGTTCTTTTGCCTTGTCTTTTCTTTATTTATCTTTACTCATTCTCTTCCTCAATTTCGTTCTCATTTTCATTTTTTTTTCCCCCTCATTTCCTTCTAACCTTTCAATGTTTCTTTTATTTCCTGCTTCTCATCCCTTTTTTTTTAAACTGTCTTCTCTTCTTCTTCCATTCCATTTACTCCAGGGATAAGGCCTTCTGTTAACGTGTGCATGGGGGGGGGGGGGGGGGGGGGGGGGGGGGGGGGGGGGTGCTGGCTGGCGAGAAACTGAGATTCTTTCAGACAGACTGTGATTAGAGCAAAGTTCTTTAAAGAACCAGCTATATGAAAATGATGATGATGACTGGTTAAACGTTAAAATTACAAGTTCCTTTAGCTCATCTTATGCCAACCCTCCTTAACTGCCTCTTGTGACATGCACTGAAGGTTACAGTTACTGTTTCTCATTTCCCTTGTAGCAAGTAAAGCAAGTAGAGGACCCATTCCATTCATCTGGTTTATCAGACCCATAATGCCACACTCATATTTGTGTAGACCAGCTTGCATTCGGTGGCTGACATGTTCAACATAGTGCTTGCCCCATTTACTTCCCAGGACTTCACCATGTACCTGTTATAGGCTGGTTCAAGTTGGCAGCCAAAGTGTTCACACAAAAAAATTAGACTCCTTGCTGATTTTTAACCCAAGACCTTTGACCTGGTAGACAAGCATCTAACTTCCTGTATGATCATTGCAGAACATAGTATTATCCATGTCTAACACTGCACAGTACTAAGAATGTCATAAGAGACAACTAAGGGTAGGTTAACTCTACCATACCACTGGCCCGCTATTGCGTGAATGTCCTAATCTGCCGCTAAACCGCTGTCCCTCAAAGTCGGGAATTTGCGTACTGTGAGTGACAATGCGTCACAAACTAAAAATAACTAGCCAATCATAATCAGATCTCTTGGATAGTATTCTCAGATGTTCGTTTACATGTGTTTGGATTAAATTTGTGTTAATTTACGTGAACAAATTCTGAAAATTCACAATAAAACGAGCGACTGATGAACCAAGCACTTTGACAGGAAATGAAAGTAGGTCTAGGCTTTTCACAGTCCAACAGGTGATCGATACTTTGGTTGATTCAGACTCTGAGGAGTCAGAATTTCATGAAGAATTTCATGAAGTGACACAGTGAGTGTGAGCTGGAATGATGAGGAGAATATTGAACATTATAAATCTAGAAATAAATCAAAAGGAGGAGAAAGGGGCGTGTCCCTCAATCAGCAACATCTAGTGTTCACTTTGTGAAACAAGGCTGATCCTGCTGAGTAGATTGGCACACAAAGTTAGAATATTGGCGTTAGATAAAAGGTGAGCCTATTTTCTACAATGTCTCCAAGTTTCATCTTATTCTAGCCACTTGTTTGCATGTAAATTATATTTTTGTTTATACCCATGAGCTCAGGTATAGGAGGCAGTTAGGTTCAGGGCCTCAGGTATGGTAGGGTTAAGCTTGAGCTTGGCTAGCCCATCTCTGAACTGTTTCAGTCCCAAACTGTAATAACTTCATCTCTTCCTATGACAGTGGGTTTTATTTGAAAGAAATTAGTCTCGGTATGATTAACAATAACACTGTTCGACACCAAAAAAAAGCTGCATTATAAGTTCTTTGCCCAGTGGGCAGACCACACAAATTAATGGAAAAAAAACATCAGAGAAACTCTACAACAGCACTAAATTGTGTCTATGGCTGAAGCAGCCAGACCAGCAAGAAGCGGAACCTTATATTGCCCTTCATGCCCGAAGTGGTAAAACAGGAAGTGAAGAACAAGAAGAAGTAAAAAAACAATCATACTTTCTTGCCAAAAGTCCTCTTCCAAATCTTTGAACCAGCAGAACCGTGTTACGAATGCTCTGGTACTTGCACCTCTGCAGCCATCCTCGAATGTGTTTCTGAATCATGACCCCACAAGCACGAAGTTTGCTGGTCCTCAGTTTCTCCAGATAAGCCACCTGGCCTGCCCTAAAGAAGATTTTGGTCTTGCCAAATCGGTATTTGTCCTCATCCTGTGGGGTCAAGTTCAGAATGATCAGATATGGGATGAGCAGTAGTAATTTAAACAACAATATTCTGTTTAACCCATCTAGGGTTTTAATTATGATATATAGAGATGTTCTTTTGGGTTTCACTATCACCATCGGCAACTGAGTCGCCCACTGGCTTGCTGGTGGATGACTTTGTAGCCGGTCGGGACAGTATTTGGGGCCAACACATCAGGAGTCCTTTTCAGGGCTCTTGGCATCATGCAATGCTAAGCCACTTTATATGGTGCACACAACCTAGTCATAATTATAATTCTTCTGTAAAACCACATCTCTGTGGCCTCAAGATATTGTTCCACTTGTTTATTAATTGACCAGACTTCACAGCCGTATGTTAAACACCGGCTCTATAAAGCATGTGATAATTATTCTCCTAGCATCCAATGAGATGGATTTATTGCACAAAATGTTGCTCATTTTGTAAAATGCAGTTTTGGCCTGTTCTAATCTGTTCTTGATCTCTGTGACACATCTTCTATCAAATTTTATCCCTGTGCCTAGGTAGTTAAATTTCTGTACTTGTCCTAAAATAACGACTTTGACTTTTATTACACATTTAGGGACTATACTTTTCTTGGAAATCACTATTACTTCTGTCTTTCCATGATTCAAACTGAGGCCCATTTAATCACTTTATACCACCACTGTATCTATGAATACTGACTATATATTCCACAAAATGCTGTCCTTTCTTAGATTTATGTTTTCTTTTAAAAACAAGAGGATTATTATCATTGCACTGGAATTTACCCTGTACAGCTCCTTGTATCTCTCACATAGGGACTGGTTGTCTGGAAGAGTGCTACACACAGCCTGAACCTTGTAGCTTAAAGGTGTGCTGAGGTACTGAACTATATGTGGTGTGTACCAGGAACAGGGCCCATACTGGTCAAGATCTATCTACACACCTTCACCATCATCCCAGAAACAGGTTCCCTGCCAGGGACCTGGCGAAAATAGATAGGACTGATTTTTTCTTTAAAGTTAGAATGTAAGAGCCTGAGAGGCAAGGAATCAGCAGTCTGCACACAATTAACTCTTTGAGTCCCAGGGGGTTTACCATCACAGGCCCAGGGGGTAGTAAAGAAAGTAATAAAATCGGTGCATCAAGTGTTCATTGGGCTTCTAGGTAGGAACCTAAGAACATATGATGCGTTCCTTAGGACTCAAAGAGTTAAGCCAGGTCTATAAAATGGATGCACACTCAACAGTCAAGTCCTGCAGCAAGACTAAAGTCCAGAAGTGGATAAATAAGCAGAACTTTCTACTGGAGTTTATAGGTGATGAACATAAACAAGAAGAAGTAGTCACTCCAACAATGACTCCTTGTGGATCTCTAAACACAACTCCACTTGTGACTTGAAGGGTTGTCAGAAATTCAACACACAGCCTTCAAAGCATGCAATCATCTGAGCAAGACACAAGCATCTGTCTACTGTGCTATAATGGTGCATCTGACTATTGCGCTATCACGACTCTCTACACAAACTTTCAACACCCACAGACTCCCCATGTGAGCATCACATTTTTTTTATTACCTAGATTTAACTCTTTGAGTCCCAAGAAACGCATCATACATTCATAGGTTCCTACCTAGAAGCCCAATGAACGCATGATGAGCCAATTTTATTACTTTCTTTACTACCCACTGGGCCTAAGATGCTAAACCCCCTGGGACTCTAAGAGTTAACATCTATAACATAATGCTTCTGAGCAAAAGCAATTGTCAACAAATAAATACTTTGGTTATGAAAAGTTACTTACAGCAATTAGAGCAGACAAGATCACCTCACAAGTTTTTTGCAGATCGTGTTTGATGATATGTCTGGAGCTGGCCAGAACTCTGTAACGCTGGAAGAACTCCGGGTAAGTCCATCTGGAGATAAATTTTTGAGTTCAATAATCATCATTATGTAGCAGGTCCTTTATTGCATACCACTCACATCGCTGCCAACAATAAGGAGACAATAATCCCAAAAATATACCCCCCATTCCCCCCCCCCCCCCCCACTGAAAAAAAATAATTGTGCACAGTTATTAGAACAGAGATTTAGACCTATATTAGAACAGTACTTGGGCCTAAGTATAATCCAGTTTGGTTTCAGGAAAGGAAAAAGTTGCACAGATGCATTATTTACATAAGACAAGTTTGTGAAAAAACCACTGAATATGATGATGAACTGAATATTGTGTTTGAAGATCAGGAGACAGCTTTTGAAAGTCAGAAACAAACTATTTTCTATTCTTGAGCATTATGGGATACAAGGACAATAGAAACAAGACGTCAATGAGCCAGTATGCTTTTATAGCAACTGATACCATTATTAGGACATATACACATAAGTATGAGTGCCAAGAAACAGATTATAAACAGCATATTCATACCAACACTCTGTTACCAGTGCCACACTTGAACACTATCCAAGGCTTGGCTACATAAAATTAGCACCTGTGAAATTAGATGCCTGAGAAAAGCCGTCTTTTTCCAGAACTTGAATTTTATGTGCACATCCATTTTACAGACCTGCTTAATTGAATACAGACTGTTGGTTCCCCCACTTTTCAGGCAGATGCAATCTAACTTCAAAGAAAAAAATCAGTATGATTTATTTGATTTGATTCAAGAACCGACATCACAGCACTCGGGGCATTCCCATAAGCGCTCCGTCTCCCCACCTTCAGCAGCCAGTGAAGAGTTCTGATACTAATGGTGCCAGTAGCTTTCTGATTAAATGTCTGTCTTGCCTTTCCGCTGAGCCTTAAGCCTCTGCCAGAACCTCTCGTCACTCCCCCCTGCATCAATCTCACCAGACTGTGGTGATCCATCTGCTCCTCCGAACTGTACAAGCTCTCCCACAAGGCAGTAACCACGTCTGCCCTACTATAATGTATCAGTATACAACCAAGTTGTGCAGAGCCAGCCAGTCTGTCCCCCTGTTTATTTCCCAATTCACCCGCATGGCCCTATTGAAAAAATCCAGACAATATTCCTCACCCGTGTCCTCCGCAATGAAGGATGCCACTCTGCATGAAGCATGCTTGTCCTGATCTTCGTCAGCATGCTCTATGAGTGTTGTGTTCTCTAGCCAGCGGAAAGCTGCAGTGACCGCCCCACCTCCATTCTTAAGCTGGATGTTGTGGTATCATATGCTAGGCTCTCCTGCCCCAAACGTCGACCATTAACTTTGCTAAGAAGCCCCAAGCACTTCTTTTGTCTCTTGACACTGAACCGTCTGTGTAAATTAACAAATCCTCTGAGAAAAGTCAGTAATTAGTCACCAAGGGTCTATTTCTTTATTCCCTCCAAAATGGTAACAGAACTTTTTTTTTTTTTTTTTGAAGAAATCTATGTCCTATTCTCTTTCTCCTAAATGTCAGAAAAAATATAGCATTATCAAGCAGCCATCCCAAGAATAGCATGCTTTAGTGTGTCAAAAATCCCCTAAAGTTACTCCATAACCACCTTCTACCTGGATGGGTATCCAGCGGCACTGATACGAATTGTCTCCAACACACCACAAGCTCTCAGCTGCTCCACTGCCCTCTTAGGTTCAAACCTGAAACATCGAAAATGAAAAATGGACATCACATGGCACAACAAAGCAGCTTGTTGCTGGCTTCAGAACCAGTTCCCCACACATACTGTGGTTTTTGCTGGCTTCAGAACCAGTTCCCCACACATACTGTGGTTTTTGCTGGCTTCAGAACCAGTTCCCCACACATACTGTGATTTTTGCCGGCTTTAGAACCAGTTCCCCACACATACAGTGATTGCAACAGATTCAGTAAGCATGTGAGAAAGCTGAAGACAAACATGCTCTGTTGAGAGTGGGAAGCATCACTTTAGGTTCTCCCAGTAGTGTCCTTTGGATATTTTGTCCAGGTGTGCAGGTGTGTTGAGAAACAAACAGGCAGACAGATGGGCCTGTGCTGCACCACTTGGTGGTGAAATGATGCATAACAAGCTAGATGCAGTCAAAGCCCTTTAGGGGTAAGTGAACAATGCAGAAGAACATTACGTCTGTAGAGAATTACAAAACAGGGATTGGCCAGGGGATTTGGTCATCATTCTACTCTCAGAGGAAAGGCAAGACAGACATACAATCAAACTGCTACTGGTGACACTGACTGTTGACGATGAGAACATCTGGAAATGCCCTGAGTGCTGTTGTTGGTTCCTAACTTAACTCAACTCATCTGAAACAGTTCCCACATTTCTGTTCATAATTACAAACAATCTCTGAGCCACATAACAACTTGGTATTAACATCTACTTCAATTTATGTTTTAATATGTGTTACAAAAGCACTGTGGTGAATTCAGACTATCTCAGTCATAACTGAAGATGTTTTGCTGGTAAATGCAGACTTTTTCATTTGTAAATGCAGTCTTAAGACGCAGTCGTAAATGCACAGATTTTCTCAGTGTCCAATGCAGACTTTCTCATCACTGGTACATTTACAGTCTTAAGACTCAGTTGCAAATGCACAGAGATTTTCTCAGTGTAAGTCTTTTTTACTGGTCTTAGGACTCAATTGTAAATGGGCAGACTTTCCAATTAAGTGATACAACAGACTTACTCATTGGTAAATGTCAACTTTCTTACTCAGTGGTAAATGTCAACTTTCGTACTCAGTGGTAAATGTCAACTTTCTTACTCAGTGGTAAATGTCAACTTTCTTACTCAGTGGTAAATGTCAACTTTCTTACTCAGTGGTAAATGTCAACTTTCTTAGTGATAAATGGAATTCTAGGTGAAAAAGCACAGATTTTCTGAATCATTAGTAAGAGCAGTCCTATACTCAGTGGATCCTGTGCTAAAGTAATATTTACCTCAGACTGTGCTGTACAACTAACTCTCTTTTCCCATATAAACGCCTAGAGAAACCAGTGTGGTGTGCAATTCAGTTATTGAAACATCACGACCATGGAAAGGCATAGAAAGATTTAACAAAATCATTATTTTTTCATCTCATTCTTCTTTTTTCTCAGTTTTCTTCTACTAATTCATCTTCTTCTCCTCCTCCTCTTCCTCCTCATTCTTCCTCTTTTTCTTCTTCTTCTTCTCCTTCTTCCTCTTCTTCTTCTTCTCTTTCTCGTTCTTCTTCTTCTTCTTCTTCTTCTTCTTCTTCTTCTTCTTCTTCTTCTTCTTCTTTCTTTCAGCTTTTACTTTTAAAAGTGCACTTGACAATGATATGTTGTGGTTTACAGCTAGGCTGCAATATCTGCACCTTACAGCCTAATACAACTGAGAGCAAACTGATTATATTCGACTTTAAAGGCATGCTTGTTGGTGGACATAGGTTCAATTCCCACCACCCATCTCCCCCCCCCACCCCCACCCCAACCCACAAATGGAGCCCTGGAGCCACACAAGGAATGAGATACTGAAACTGGACATCCATGGGGAGATAACTTGTTCTTCTCTGCTGACCGGCTGTAAGCTCCAGTGGAAAGTCCTGGTTGTTCCTTCATTTGGACTTTGGCTTTGTGCCAGGGCCTGAGTTTTGCGTGTACATCTGTTTTACTGGCTTATTTGTGTACAACTAATTGTTCCTTGCTGCTCAGGCAGATGCTCTACACCTTCAAAGGAAGCCCCCAGTTAGTTGACTCCTACGACATGCTTGTGTGTACCATCGGAATTGGAACTTTTCACTTGCTGCTAAAGATGGGGACTGAGCACTTATGGGAGTTTGCCGAGTGCTGTGATGTCGATTCTTGATTCAACATTTAACATTGTGTGTTTCTGCCATAATGGAGCTCCGGTACCCACACAGTAAAACCAGGTTATGATTCAGCAATGTGTTAACAGACACTGTGTGTGTTGGTCATGATTGTATTCTTCATTATCACCAGCTGTAAACTCCTGCCAAAAGTTCTGGTTGTTCATCCGCCTCTGGATTTTAGTCTTGTTCCAGAAAATGTATGCTGTGTGCGCATCCATTTCACAGATCTGACTTATTTGTATGCAGATTGTTTGCTCCTTACCACTTAGGCAGATGCACTCTGACTTCAAAGGAGGTCATAACTGTATAAAACAAACAACTACTTCTACTTTAGTTTCATTCATCCCATTAAAGTCAACTGAACATTAAATTTGCAGTTTTTTTTTTACTTCTTTCCCTAAGTATTCAAGCCGCTTTAAGGGTATGCCGCGAAATGTTTTTAGCCCGACAAGGGTGCCGCGGTGAAAAAAAGTTTGAGAACTTCTGTGTTAGGCTATGCTTGCATTAAACATTTGCCTCAACACCTCCTGCCAAATCAAGTTGTTACGCTAAACCATGCTGCTCCAAAGGTTACTTTAACTTACCCCTCTCAAAGCACGATTATTTCAAGTCATTCTGGCAAAAACATTTATTACTTAACCTTTTCACACCAAGAAGGCTAAAAAAATGGGGAACCAATCCGTTGGAAATTTAGAAAAGAAATATTTTTAAGAAAACAATTTCACATAAACGCTAATAAATTTGTTTTTAAATGTATCTATCAAAATAAAAAATTAGGGGGGGGAAGTTGTATGTGTGTTTGTGTGTGTTGTGGGGGGAGTTACTATCTTCGTATCTGAGTCTCTTAAACACTGAGCATGCACACATAGAAACCACAGCATTTAACTATCCTTTTTGAGAACAAATCACTCCAGATATGGCGATATATCAACTTTTATAGGGCTTATAGGTATACCTGGCTAGATTTATCTGCCTGGCACTGAAAAAGTTCAAAAGGCAGTTGGCGCATTCTGTTCAGCTCAACACATCCAATTTCAGCAAATCCTTAATTAGTTACCTTTTATGACATGCTTGATAAGAGTCAGTAAGTCTATTCTTGTTTCCTCCCCCCCCCCCCCAAATTCCACATTAGCCCCCCCCCCCCTCACCCCTCCCTAAATGCAGCTCTTGAACCCATATGGAGAGATCATGAATTAAACACTGAGTTTGTAGACTGGCTAAGATTAGGCCCGTTTTGGTCGCTTGTATCAGATGGTACAATATACACTGCAGACTTACAAAAAGGCTTCCTTCAAGTCGTTAGGTTTAATACATCTGATGTAATGTGGTGAGGTGGCGTTCAGAGTATCCATCAGCGAGCACAGAGAGTCTCGGAACTGGAAATTAGCAAATTCAATTAAAAACATAGAGCATGTTGAGAAAGGTGAAGACAGGTATGCTTCGTGCAGAGTGGCAAGCATCACTTCAGAGGTCCCAGGTAGTTAGCATCGTTTGGATATTTTCTCCAGGTTATGCCAGTGTGTTGGAAAATGAGCAGGCAGATAGACTGGCCAGCTCTGCACCACTTGGTGGTGAACTGATGTGTGACGCTCAACACTCAGGGGAAGGTTGAGATGGATATACAATCAGACGGCTACCGGTGCCGTCAGAACTGGAACTCTTCACTTGCTGCTGAAGATGGGGATGGAGCACTTATGGGAGTGTCCTGAGTGCTGTGATGTCGATTCTCAATTCAACATTCAACATTCAGATGGGATATAAGTAAAATTTTTCACACAAAAATCCAGAAAATAAAATATCTGTTGGTTGTTAGTCAAAGGTCCAACTTCGCAACTTATGTGTCACTCTTTAAAACTCTGTTTCTATTCCAGTGGAAATCACATATTCGTCCATTATGAAACTAGTGTAAAATCAATCAGTCTCAACAAAATCTAGAAGCTCACACATGCACAGTAAAAGCATAAGGTAACTGCCAGATGTGTCAATATTAGCAGAATAGCGGCTTACTGTTGATGGAAGCAGTCAGTCATGACAAGCCAGCATTGTACATGCTGGACTGTATAAAGTAAACGCCTGTCTGAATGTAACCATCTCAAAGCATTTTTAGTCTAGTTTACAAAACAAAACCACCACAGACACAGAGGAAATAAACACTCTATATTAAATCCACAGTGGCTGGCACTTAAGCTCTTGGCTCAGTCAGTTGCTTTGCTGTGGAACCTTTGGATTCTTAGTCCAGAAATGATGGAATTCTGTGAGCAAACCATGGCCACAAGAAAAACAATGTCCTAATAGCCTCGATGGGCAGAAAGTAAGTGCCGTGTGCACGTCTGTTTTACATGTCTGACTCATTTGCATGCAGACTGTTGGTACCTTGCCTCTCAAGCAGATGCACTCTGACTTTGAAAGAAGCTCCCTATTCGTCAACTCTTACGACATGCTTGTGGGCAGGCAGTGGGTCTATTCTGGTTTTCCCCAAAGTGGGGCCCCAAAGCCCACACAGGGATTCTCAGTGAAATGAAAATAGCCTTTTAAAGCCAAAAAATGCCAAAATTCTATGCCTTTTACAAGCTCCTTCTCCTTGTTGACTAAAGGGCCACTGGAGAAGCCACACACAAAATAAATTTGTAACTGTAACCAACGAAGAGTTATAAAAGATGACTAAGGATGTTTGGCCACTTGGTGTGTTTGCTGATTCAAAAGACTGCTTGTGAATTTTCTAGAAAATAAACCTACACAGCCATTGGAAGGGAACCAGAAAAATGGAGGTGTGAAATCAGTGATGCATCAGATTAACTCAGTGATACATCATGTGAAATCAATGGCTCGTGAAGTGAAGGCAGTGATGTATTATGTGAAATCAGTGATGTTTTATGTAAAATCACTGGTGCACTAGATGAACTCAGCAATGTATCATTTAAAATCAGTGATGTATCACGTGAAATCTGTCACTGTCATTAAAATCAGTGATGCATTCTGTGAAATTATTGATATATCACATGAAATCAATGATGTATCACATAAAATCAGTGATGTATTCTGTGAAATTAATGATATATCACATGAAATCAATGATGTATCACATAAAATCAGTGATGTATTCTGTGAAATCAATGATATATCACATGAAATCAATGATGTATCACATAAAATCAGTGATGCATCACAAGAAATTGTGAAATTAATGATATATCACATGAAATCAATGATGTATCACATAAAATCAGTGATGTATTCTGTAAAATTATTGATATATCACATGAAATTACTGATATATCACATGAAATCAATGATGTATCACATAAAATCAGTGATGTATTTTGTGAAATCAATGATATATCACACAAAATCAATGATGTATCACATAAAATCAGTGATGCATCACATGAAATTGTGAAATTAATGATATATCACATGAAATCAATGATGTATCCAAAAAAAAATCAATGATGCATCACATGAAATCAGTGATTTATTCACAGCAGACCTGGGAGCCAACAGTCTTCTTGTTCTGTTTGCTGCCAGCTTTAGGCTGGACTCTCACTGGCTGGGTTGTGGATGATGAGCGATTTCTTCTGCCGCCTGCTCCTCCAGGAGCCACATCTTCAGTCTCTTCCATGAATAAGGCTGACACTAGTTGAAACTGCGAGTAAAGTAAACAATATAAAAGTTTACATGACTGAGCTGGGTTAAAAATCAACAACACAGCACTCAGGATATTTCCATAGGTGCTCCATCACCATCTTTGTGTAGTTCTTCAACGTGACAAAACTCACCCACATACAAGTAAATAAATGCAACAACAATCAGACAGTTACTGGTACCATCAGAGTTTGAACTCTTTGCTTGCTGCAGAAGATGGAGACGGAGCACTTATGGGGGGGGTTACCCGAGTGCTGTGATGTTGATTCTTAATTCAACATTCAACATAACTGCAACATTGGAGCATCTCAACTTTGATGACATTTTACCAAATCCAGCATTTACTATTCCAGATTTGACACGATGTGATTTTTTTTCTATCCCCCAAGCTCAAGGACCATCTCAAGGGAAACAGATATGCGTCTGATGAGCATTTCAATACAATATGCATTTTGAAGGTAAGAAGAAGAAGCAGGAGAAGCAAGGAGAGAGGAGGAGAACAGACTCAAAATGTAAGCAGCTTCACAATACAACCCCCGTGTGGGTTCCCGGGCCCTATTATAGGGAAAACAAGAATAGATCCACTGCCTAACCAAAAGCATGTCGTTAGAGTCGACTACTTGGGAGCTTCTTTTGAAGTTGGAGTGCCTCTGCCTGAGATACAAGGAACCAACAGTCTGCATTCAAATTAGTCAGATCTGTCAAACGGATACACATACAACACTCAGGTTCTGGGACAGGACTGCAGTCCAGAAGTGGACGAACAACAAGAACTTTACATAGGAGTTTACAGCGAATGCGAAGAAGAAGAAGACAATACAAGCCAGCAACTAACCAATCGTTGAGTCCCTCACCTGACTGGCTCGGAGTGTGTTGACCTGCTCCTCTAAGACGGTGTCTCTGTTCTTCTCAAGAAACCCGTCTGCTTGATACTCTACCTACAAAATTTGTAGACAATTAAAAATAACAAATAAACACTAAAGATATCCTAATAATAATAATCTACAGTTTTGATGATACAATATTAATAAGATTATTTAAATACTCATTGTAGAGTATCCGTCGTAATCACAACCCAAAGATATCAACAGGACAATTTTTCGAATATCAGCAATACAAATTGTGTAAATGTCTCAAAGAAATGAATATTCAGTATGTAAAATACAAAAAATATACTCCAAAACCTCAATGAACACTTTACATCCCATTTATAATCCTGAGAGCAAAACAAGATATTTTGGCCGGCCTAATGCTGACCACATCACCCACCAAGAGCTGTTTGGTCTATAAAATATAGGTCTAGCCCTATATATATATTCAATATGCCTGAAAGGCATGGAGGGTTCTTTACTTTTTACATCATTTTTATTTTATGTTATGTCAATAAGTGTTAGTGAATATGATTCGCCATCTTAGATTATCATCAGTCTCAAATCAGGCACATATCACAAAAGATGACTGATTAAGGGTTTGCTGAAACTGGATCAGTTAGGTCAAAAGGGACAGATATTGCAGCCTAGCATAAAACACGACATGCCAACCACCTCGGAGACATAAGTGACATACACACTTTCTTATTTTTACAAGTTACAGAAATGAGGACATACACACTTTCTTATTTTTACAAGTTACAGATATGAGGACATACACACTTTCTTATTTTTACAAGTTACAGATATGAGGACATACACACTTTCTTATTTTTACAAGTTACAGATATGAGGACATACACACTTTCTTATTTTTATAAGTTACAGATTTGAGGACATACACACTTTCTTATTTTTACAAGTTACAGATATGAGGACATACACACTTTCTTATTTTTACAAGTTACAGATATGAGGACATACACACTTTCTTATTTTTATAAGTTACAGATATGAGGACATACACACTTTCTTATTTTTACAAGTTACAGATATGAGGACATACACACTTTCTTATTTCTATTAGCACTGTAGTGCTTTCACATTGTAACAACTTTGAGGAAATAAAAGTGATACACTCACAGCCTTTTTCTTTCTTGTTTATTTTTTTTTTTTTTTTAAAGTAAACAAAAATTAATAGATTGACTAATCCATTAAAACATTTAATAGACTCACTAATCTATCAAGGTTGACTTACTTTGTCAGCAAAATGGTGTATGATAAAGGCTGAACGAGACAAACGTGGTTTGGCAAAGTGCTGAGATTTGTTTAGATGTTTGTCATACAGTTTCTGACACCAGTTTTCTTCTGAGCCTCTAGGCATCTGTGAATATCCCATTTTATATATATATATATATATATACACGCATACACATCAAACAAACATACTCTCATTATCTCCAGACAATAAATATTAAAGTGAAGAAAAGCAAAAATGCTATTTTATTAAATGAAAAACATCTTAGGTAATGTCTATTTTATAAGAGGTCACAAACAGAATTCTTGCAAGTTGTTGTGTGCGAAATAACTTTAGGGTATAAAGAGTTAAGAAAGCCAGGACTTTGTGTGACAGGTTGGAAGCGTAAACATTTGAGGCCACTGGAAGAGAGTGGAGCATGAGCCATTAGCTGGATCCATATGGGTCGACAGTACGAGTGGGTCATGAACCCTAAGTGTTGGTGAGAAAATAAAATCCATGTGGAACTGACCATGTGTGAGAAAAGTCCTGTGGTAGTTTGAATGAGTGATACTTCAGTCAGTAGCTTTCATTCAGTCAAACTGTGTGGATGTATGTGCACAGATTGTTTAAGTCCAGTGAATGTATGGACTTTTGTGCGCAGTTTAAACAAGTGGTTTTATTCTGTGGAGCTCGTGTGAACTGTTGGATGAGTGTGGTGGATCATGAGATGGACTTTAGAATTCTCTCAATGTAATTTCTAGAATGGAGGGTTGTGAGGGCCATGTGTGTGTGTGTGTGGGGGGGGGGGGGTTGGTTCAGCACAAATGCGGCTATGAGGCACACTTAGGAACTTTGTGTGTGCTGACCAGTGTGGCATTGTGGTGGGGAGGTATGGGCATTCCGAGTCCCTGAGGTTCATTGCTGCAGTTATCATCCACCTCAATTCATCTCTCTGGTTCGCCTTCTCCTTAAAATTGATGACACCAAATGTTTGTAGGTCTGTCTGGATATTACAATTCCATCATCTTCTTGGTCTGCCTCGTGGTCTACAATCATTCAGCTCCCTTGTGTATAGTTTTTACTTCTCTGTCATTTGACATTCTCTCAATATGCCCCAGCCATTTCAGTCTATTACCTCTCATGATGCCAGTGATCAATGGTGATTTAAACAGATTATGAATATCGTCGTTGCTTCTATCTCTCCATCCCCCACTGTTTGCATATTTGGTGGGTCCAAAGATTCATCATAAGACTCTGTTTTCAAAAATTGGTATTAAGGCTTCATCTCTTTTAGTTGTGCTCCAAGTTTCACAGACATATAAGACAACTAGTCTTATCAACATTTTATATATTTTGATTTTGGTGTTGCAAAATAGAGACTTTGACTTTAGCAGATATTGAAGGTCGTAGTATATTCTATTTCAAGATTGTATTCTAGATTGTAGTTCTTCTCTCAGCAGAGATGTTTTTACATAAGAATATTGACAAAGAAAATAAATAATTGTATTTTATTTTGAAACAGGTGCAAACATAATGACAATTTTTCAAAAACTCTATAAGAACCCAGAAAACAAAGACAACTTGTTACAAACATCAGAAAGAGGTGAAGAGCCAAACACAACTTATAAAAACACCAGAAAGAGGTGAAGAGCCAAACACAACTAATAAAAACACCAGAAAGAGGTGAGGCACAAACACAGCTCATTACAAACACATGAAAGATGCAAGGACCCCAAGACAACTTATTACAAACATCGGAAAAAGGCTAGGATCTAAAGACAACTTATTATAAACAGCAGAAAGAGGCTAGGATCCCAAGACAACTTTTTATAAAAATCAGAAAAAGGCTAGGATCCCAAGACAACTTCTTACAAATATCAGAAAGAGGCTAGGATCCCAAGACAACTATTTACAAACAGCAGAAAGAGGCTAAGATCCAAAGACAACTATTTACAAACACCAGAAATAAGTGAAGACCCAAAGACAACTTATCACAAACTTCAGAAAGAGGCTAGGACCTAAAGCCTAACTAAACTGAGTACCAAGTAATACACTAGGAGGGAAGCAGACGTGATGCTAGCTACCTCGCTAACAACCAGTGTTCTTTGGCCTTTTTTTTAGGCTGGAAAATAAGTTGAACCGTTTGCTGATCGGAGGACATCTAAGACAGAAACAAAAATGAATGTGCTGTCTCCAGAATGGTGGCAACCTGCAGTGCATCTGCTGAAACTTTTGGGAGTGTTACATGTGAGGTCTAAAACTTTTCATAGTGCTTTTTGCACCACTGTCCTTACCTTACACTTAGTTTTTGAGAGTCCAGTCCACAAACTCATTCTTATCTTGCACTCATTGCTGAGAGTCCAGGCCACAAATTCATTCTTACCTTGCACTCATTATTGACAGTCCAGTCCACAAACTCATCCTTACCTTGCACTCATTATTGACAGTCCAGGCCACAAACTCATCCTTACCTTGCACTCATTATTGACAGTCTAGTCCACAAACTCATCCTTACCTTGCACTCATTACTGAGAGTCCAGTCCACAAACTCATCCTTACCTTGCACTCATTATTGACAGTCTAGTCCACAAACTCATCCTTACCTTGCACTCATTATTGAGAGTCCAGTCCACAAACTCATCCTTACCTTGCACTCATAATTGACAGTCTAGTCCACAAACTCATCCTTACCTTGCACTCATTATTGACAGTCTAGTCTACAAACTCATCCTTACCTTGCACTCATTATTGACAGTCCAGTCCACAAACTCATCCTTACCTTGCACTCATTGTTGACAGTCTAGTCCACAAACTCATCCTTACCTTGCACTCATTATTGACAGTCCAGTCCACAAACTCATCCTTACCTTGCACTCATTATTGACAGTCCACTCCACAAACTCATCCTTACCTTGCACTCAATATTGAGAGTCCACTTCACAAACTTATCCTTACCTTGCACTTAATATTGACAGTCCAGTCCACAAATTCATCCTTACCTTGCACTAATTATTGACAGTCCAGTCCACAAACTCATCCTTACCTTGCACTCATCATCCAGAAGATCCAGAACACCCAGTTTGCTCTCAATCAGATCTATACATGGCTGGTTGTCGGAGAAGTCAATGAACGACCACTGGATCTGTTCCCTCACATATTCCTCTTGCTCCAGCTTAAAGACATGCTGGGGAAACCATACATACAGTCAGATACAGGACAGCACCTTCTGTTTTGTATATACCTTTCCTCTGCATTCGCAGGCACCTTTTCTTTTTTTAGGCCTAATGGAGCATAATATGAGTATGCCTTATACTTTCTGTCCTTTTTAGGATGAAATTTTTCGTTATTTGAAGCCCTTCTCTGGCTCTTGCCAGGGGCCGCAATATAGCCTGGTCATATATATGGCCTAAAGGCTGAACGCGGTTTCTGGGACCTCTCCACAGTGATCCTCACCCACATGGTGGCACATTGTGTCATCGAGTGTTTATCGATTGTGTGATGTCCTGGTGGGGTAGAAAGTCAGACATTCATGGAGCATAATCCATTTAATCCTCTGCTTCATTCACGTTTATGGATTACTACCCTTCAATTTTTTTTTATATTTTAAACAAATTTTTAACAGATATAAATAAAAATAAAAATTTAATTTTTCAACAACCTGTTTAAAAAAAAAAATTAATATATTTGTCTATGCCTCTCCCCAAAAGGTTTCTGGAATGAAAGTGTTAACGCTTTCAGTCCCGGGGGTTCATCATCAGAAACTCATGAGATAATAAAGAGAGATGTAAAATTGATGCATCTTGCATTTAATGGGCTTCTAGTTAGGAATTAAGCCTACACTGGTAGGTTTTTAAGTATCTAATTTATTTAAGTAAATAATATTTTAAATATCCAATTTATTTAAGTATATAATTTTTTTGGAAGTATCTTATTGTCAGCAGGCTGCAGTACAATTCATAAGGCAAGCTTACCATGTTAAAAATTTGTTGAAGTTTCTCATTGGCATAGTTGATACAGAACTGCTCGAAGCTGTTGATCTGGAATGTCTCAAACCTGGAAGATCACAATAGTGGGTGAGTATGTGTGCGTCCTCTCTGCTATTTGCAACAGGATAGGAAGCTCCAAATTCAAGACATAAACTACCCTGTGTGGGTACTAGGGACCTAGTCGGGGGAAGGGGCAAGGGGGAAAGGGCTTTTGCCTTTTTTTTATGTTAAACAAAAATGATTAGCCGTCTCCACAATGAAGGCTGGATTCAGTATACCACTGTTTTCTTTCAAAATACTTTTTACTGATTGCCAGGAATATTATTTGATGATTGCTGAGAATATTATTTGATGATTACTGAGAATATTATTAAATAATGAGTGTATGGTACAAAAGAGGATATGGATTGCACGATAGCTTTCATAAAGGCTACCGGCCTACTGATATAAGTTTTCTGACAGAAGGATTGAAGAAGAAGAAGAAGAAGAAGACAAGGAATATTATTTGAAGATTGTCGTGAATATTATTTGATGATTGCCTAGAATATTATTTGATGATTGCCAGGAATATTATTTGATGATTGCCTAGAATATTATTTGATGATTGCCAAGAATATTATTTGATGATTGCCAAGAATATTATTTGATGATTGCTGAGAATATTATTTGATGATGGTAAGAAATATTGTTTGATTATGACCCAATCTCTTCCTTGGCCCAACTCTCATACCACTGTATGAAAACCATTAGAATTTTTTTTTTAACCATCTACTGCCGGAGATGAACCCTTGCACTCAAAGATCATGAAATTGTGCAACCACATTGACTAACATCTAAGCCGCACTGCCCTTCCTATAATAAAAATTTTGTTCTTTCTTTCTTTTGTCACTATATTCTTTAGTTTGCTAGGTGTAGGAGTTCATCAGATGATCGGCAGCCGAGCCAGGGTGCACTCAGTTGCTTGATATGCCGTGATGCTATGCAGTCTTAAGGTGTCAGTGACTTCTTCAATCCCTGTTGTTCTCGGTTTTCCCCTGCCTCTTGATGTTTGTACGCTCTTGTTGCTGGCATCATTGGTTTCATTCTCATTAGATGGCCAAACTGACTCACAGAGCATGTTGAGAAAGATGGAGACAGGTATGCTCCATGCAGAGTGGCAAGCATCACTTCAGAGGTCCCGGGTAATTAGCATCCTTTGGATATTCTCTCTAGGTTATGCCGGTGTGTTGGGAAATAAGCAGTCAGATAGACTACCTGGTTCTGCACCACTTGGTGGTGAACTGATGTATGGCAAGCTGGATGTTGTGAGGGCCCTCTGGGAGCGAGTGAACAGTGTGGAAGCGCAAACAGATCATTATGGTCTGAGTAGAATGGCGTTGTGAGGAGTTGCCAGGGGATCTGGCAAGTGCTCAACACTCAGGGGAAGGATGAGACGGATATATAATCAGATGGTTACTGGTGCCATCAGAATTGGAACTCTCCATTTGCTGCTGAAGATGAGGACGGAGTGCTTATGGGAGTGTCCCGATTGCTATGATGTTGATTCTTAATTTAACATTTAACATTCAGATAGCCAAACCAATTCATTCTTTTGTTTCTCAATAAATTTGACGATGGGTGTTATTCCAACAGTCCCTGTGATCATGTCATTTCTCACTCAATCTCTTCTGGGTTTTTTCACAGCCATTCTCAAATATCTCATCTCACAGGTGGTTAGTGTTCTTTCATCTTCATTTTGTTGAATGCCACAAATAAAGAGTTTGCTGAAATTTGATTTGCTGGGCCCTGAGGCACAGACATCACAGCCTAGCTGTAAATCACATAATGTGCCAACCACCCTTTTAAGAATAAATGCAAATGAAGACTTTAGTGAGAAGTTCTGAGAAGTAAATGTGTCCGTTTTATTGAAACCGATCACATCATCCCCTGCCTACTTTTTAAAAGGGGTATACTGAACACACGGATTTCTATAGAAGTAAAATTATAAGACAGGATCTTTTTTCATGCCTGACACATCAGTGCAGACAGTTCTAAACTCACAATTGTATAGCACAGCACTTGCTATGTGTTGTCAAAAAACAACCTGTTGACCACCTTTGCTTCCACAGATATTTCCTGTGCATGATTTAGGCTGAGTTGACATGAGAGACACAGTAATTGTATAAAATGAACCCATGATGCAGATTTAAACTAAAAAATGACCTTCGAGCCAAATGATTGGTGAAGGGTTCATTGATTGGTGAGGGGTTCATTTATTGGTGAAGGGTTCATTGATTGGTGAGGGGTTCATTGATTAGTGAGGGTTTCATTGAATGGTGAGGTGTTGATTTATTGGCTGACTGGATAATTGGCTGGTTTGTTGTCTGAATGTTTTTGTTTTTTTTAGTTTTGAGTTGTTTGCCTGGCTGACTGACTGGAGGCTGGCTGGCTGGCTGGCTGGCTGAATTAGGTTGACATAAATAGGGGATTGGTCGGATGGCTGGTTAATTGTGTGAATGGTTGGTTTAAAACTCTCCAGAAGACTGAGTGTTAGCTCATTAGTTAATTCAATGGTCTCCGGGTTCTCTGAATCCCAAAAGTGAACTTAACATCTGTCAGAGTGATGTTTGTTTAAAGTTTAATCCCCAGTCAGTACCAAGCTCTTATCTCTATGGGGAATCCCCAGTCAGTACCAAGCTCTTATCTCTATGGGGAATCCCCAGTCAGTACCAAGCTCTTATCTCTATGGGGAATCCCCTGTCAGTACCAAGCTCTTATCTCTATGGGGAATCCCCTGTCAGTACCAAGCTCTTATCTCTATGGGGACTATGTTACAGAACTTATCCTGTCCAAGCTTAGTAACTGGAAAGGTATGCAAGGCTGGCACTGAAACCTCAAATCAGAGGAGTGACATGATACAAGGAGTGACATGATACAAGGAGTGACATGATACAAGGAGTGACATGATACAGGGAGTGACATGATACAAGGAGTGACATGATACAAGGAGTGACATGATACAAGGAGTGACATGATACAAGGAGTAACATGATACAAGGAGTGACATGATACAAGGAGTAACATGATACAAGAAGTGACATGATACAAGGAGTGACATGATACAAGGAGTGACATGATACAAGGAGTGACATGATACAAGGAGTGACATGATACAAGGAGTGACATGATACAAGAAGTGACATGATACAAGGAGTGACATGATACAAGGAGTGACATGATACAAGGTTATGATTCAGCACCGCACGTAGATGCAGAGATCAGGCCTAGGCTGTTCATGTTTTCTTCACTGTTTGAGCTATCCCCTTGTCCATAAACACCAAGAGGGATCCTTTGCTATATAAATCTCTGATTTTATTCAAACAATCAAACAATGGAATTATGTCATCTTTATATGGGTCGGAGAAAGAGGGCATACTCACCCATAGATGTCCAAAACACCTATAAACTTATGTGCTTTGGCAGATGAATGCAGTGCTCTGTTTATGTGGCCAACAATCCAGTCAAAGAGCCGAGAATATATTGTCTTCACTAGAGCATCTCTTGCCAAAATTGCCTGTTTGGTGAGAAGAAATATAATCACAAATAGTAAATAAAACTTAAACAAGAAAAATGACAGTGAAATGTGCAACATGCATAAGATTTATGTATTTTTTAAATATTAGCAGACAATTGGTGGCAGCGATTAAAACTAAGGGGGGAATATCCACCACAAACATTAAATAAATACCTACAATGCAAGTGGTGAAAGTTTCAGATATTTGCCTTGTGTTCTAAAAGTTGTAGATTTAAATTTGAACTCCCTCCTTTGGTCCTCAGAGAGTGACTGCTGGAGCCATGGAGTTTGTGCTTTTTGCAATATTATTACAGGCAACCAACTACTCTATCGAAGAGAACCAATGAAATGAAATTGATCCTTCCAACTTAACTCTTTGAGTCCCAAGGAACGCATCATACTTTCATAGGTTCCCGCCTAGAGGCCCAATGAACGCAAGATGCGCCGAATTAACATCTCTTTTGACTACCCCTTAGGCCTCTGATGCTAAACCTCCTGGGACTCAGAGAGTTAAAGCCTCCTTTAAGCAATGCCCATAAGCAGCTTCGGTGAGGTTAAATTTTCTTCCTTTCATTAAACTAAAAATAAGCAATCATTAAGCAAGTCCAGACTTTAAAATACCATGAAAGCTGTCTGTCAAATGTAGAACAGAGCTAAAAAAAATAAGGCTGAATTTAGATAGCCTGTCTTTACACCATTTTACCCCATATGGCTTAGTCTTTCCCTGCAGAGCAGTGGGTCACCCCCAAACAGTACTGCATGAAGCATGATCTCTTTAGCTCTAGAAACAAGCAAAAGGGTCTCTGAAATACTTGCATTTACAAATCTACTTCTTCCTTCTCAGCATTCACCTTTAAAAAGAGAGCTGACATGTTGTGTTGTGGTTTGCAGCTAGGCTGCGCTTTTGGCCCAACTGAATTAATTTCAGTAAATCCCAAATTAGCCAGCTTTTACGACTGTTCAGGGAAGTGGTTCTATTATTCCCCTCCACAGAAAGAAGGCCCTGAATCCCAAATGGAGACTCACAAACCAAATGACTGAGTTCAAAGGTGAACAGGCAACCTTCAGCCTGCAAGCAAACAGCTTTTATACTGGATTTTTTTCCCTCCTGTTTTTGTCTCTAAATTTGTTTCCTTTCCTTTCTCTCATTTTTCTCTTTGCTTTCTTAAATTTTTACTGTTTCTGTCCTTTCTCCTTTTTTCTATGTCTCTCCTCTCTGTTTCTATTACTTCCTTAACCATCTTATTCTCTTTTGTTCTCACTCTCTTCTTGTTTATTTTGTTTTATTATTTTTTTTTTTTTTTGCTTTCTCACTTCTCTTTCTTTTTTCTCCCTCTCAATTTCACAAACTCTCTCTGCCTATCTCTCCCTCTCTTTCACACATTCTCTCTCTCTTTCTCTCTCTCTCTCACTCTCATTCTCTCTCAGGCCCCTCACCTGTGACCTTGTCAGTGGTTTGATCAAGGTCTCATTGATGGTCTGTATCTTGCGATGACACAACCACAGCCTCATCTGTGACTCCTCAATTCCCAAAAGCTTACACATGATAGTGATAGACACATCTGTGACCTACAAATGGAACCAATAGTTTTACATTTTCCCTAGTTTTTACACAATGCTTGTTTAGTGTAAAGTAAAGAACCCCTTCCTGCCATTTGTAAACAGGGTAAATAAGTAAAGTAAAGATCCCTTTTCACGCCTTTAGGTGCATCGGACATATGGGAAGAGCACCCATATTTTTACAGACCAATCGGCAATAGGTAGGTAATGTGATCAGCATTACGCCGGCTGTCTTTACTTCCCCACAACATACATCCTGATACCCATTTAAGGCTGGGTCGACCTGCGACGCCCAATACCATGATAAAAATCCACGCAGCCAGCAGTGGGTTTCGATCGCGGTGCGTTGGAGTTACGAGTTGGACTCCCAACACTTAAGCCATGGACGCCGCAAAAGGGTTTATGGTGCTGTGCTAATATTTTTATAGACCAGATAATCAGTTAATCACTAGATGACTGACAGGCAAGCATCTACCCACCATTGCTCATGTTTATCTAATGGTTCCTTAAGAATACAGAATGCATCAGTTAAGAGGAATAACTCAGTTCAAACCCAGCTATTTCTCCATGTCTTACACTGAGGCAGATTTATCTCCCCCTTTCCCTCCACCTCCCAGGTTAACCCAACCCATAAACTGGCACTGGGAAATGTCCTAGCAATCTAAATCATGGATATCGGGATTCTGACCATATCACCATCAGGTACTTATTTGTCTTTATTTTTTTAATATAACCCTTTCACCACAACAGACATTTTTATACATTTGCCCCGTAAACTGCTAAAGACGTCCTGATGAATCCTTCTGTGACCTCACTGCTTTGGATGTAAAAATATGATACTGACTTTCCTTACTGACTGGTAAGACTGTAATTCTCAGGTGTGAAATGGCAATACACATTATGCAAAGTCAGACCCGGCTGACCCATTTACATATGATTAAAACCTCTGTCATGTGCATTTAGGTGCAATCCATGTTATCCTGTTACTTTGTGTTCCATAGAAGGGTGGTTGGTAAACTGTGTACTTTTTGCCCTGAAATATATTTCTGGTTCTGCATAAGTCTACATTTTTAAAAAACACAAAATGCCAGGAAAACTGGTTAACTGAAGATGACGAAGAATTAATAGTTTCTTTCAAGGAGTATTAGTAAAGATCACTTTGAAATGGGTGAGTTATGGGCTGTCTTCATGGCACGCAGGCAGACATGTGTACTTCTGGCAGTGAGCAAGGCCATCTGACCCAGCCATCAACATTGACAGGATTTCAAATGGATTCCTCCAATGATCAACAAGAGGATATGGTCGCATTCTAACATGCTGATTAAAATTAATTTTCTTTTATACTATACAACAGATAATGCAGGTATCTGTCTATCACCTTGTATAATACTGGTCTTATTTTCAGCTGTCATTATAATATGCAGTTCTAGTGTAGTGAGTTTCAAATCTGCACTACAATCATAAATAAAAAAGTTCAGAGTTCACTCCCCCTCCCCCCTCCCGAATTAGAACTCTTCATTTGCTGCTGAAGATGAGAACGGAGTGCTATGATGTTGATTCTTAATTCAACATTCAACATTCAGTGTTGAATATCTTCCAGAACCTCTACTTACACCCTGTTGAATTAATCTTTCAGTGTTTGGATTATCTGTCTGTTTTATTGTACTGACCATTTGATCTATGAGAGCCTTCACCACATCCACTTTATCATAAAGTAGCTGACCACCCAGAGGAGTGGCAGCAGCCAACCTGTCAGCCTGTTCATTACCTTGTACACCTGAATACCCTGGACAGAAAATCCATAATATGCTCCTGATCTAAGTTTTATCAAAAGATGTTAGCCACTCTGTGTGTAGGACACTAGTTTCAATTTCTGAAGTATGCTCTGTGAGACCATTACATTTATATGTCGAGCTGTGCTGCTTTCCAGCCATATAAAAACTGCTATAACTGCCTCCATCTCCATTCTTATACTGGATGTTGTGATGTTATATGTGAGGCTCTTTGTTTTTAAACAGTGTTTGAAAATCCTTATGATATGCTTGCTAAGGGGAAGTGTGTAAATTCTATTTACCTCCAACATAAAGTCCGAAATCCCAATCAACAAATGCTCAAATAAGACAGATGTTTCTATCAAAAGGTACACAGTTAAATAGGCACAATGAAATTAAATATAAAACAAAATATGTAGGTTAAACAAAAAGCAGAGGAAGATGTACTTGTCCGATAAAGACAGAATTAGCATTTATCATATGTTGACTACTGTCAAAACTTACTGGAACCTCACAAGACTCCCCACTCTTGGCTGTGATGTTAAGATTGCCAAAGTGAAGAATGGCGCTCAGAATTTGGAACATCATGAGTTGATCACTCTCTGAGAATCCTGCAAAAATTTAAAAATTCTTTATACTGAAATATATATTTTTTCCTGTAGGGTGGCAAGACGACTCATATTTTCAGAACGTGTCTTTCCCCAACCTAATTTTGTTTCTATGTATTTTGAAGTATGAAGAAAACATGTTCCTGGGCTGTAACCTAAATCTAGGTTGATCAGAATGAAGGTACTTAATGTCTTTTTGACTACAGCTGAGGTCAAACATCAGTATCCTACACAGTGTTTAGGTGTCAAGAATCCAGATAACACTGACCAAGCTTAGACAGGGTGGCTGTAGGTTTTGTCTGCAAAAACTGAGCTGTCATATAATTGTCTCCAGGCCAGAACCTTAGAGGCAGGTAACTAATGATAAAAGTAATTATCTCCCCCTGAGATTACCCCCACTTGAATGTAGGTCCGACCACTTGAGGGGAGGTCCGATGGCTAGTATTGATGAGGTGTTAGCAGACGACCTCGGATCAGATGCCAGAGCATTGGCAGACTGGGAATGTAGAAGGAAGGTGTGACTAGGTTTATGACCAAAGCTCAGGCCAGCTTGACGAACCGTGGGAATGCTAACAAGTGTTTGAGCCTTCCTGACTGACAGGCATTTAGTGAAAGCACTATACCCATGGGGAGGAGCTTCGACCTCCCTGGAATGAGAGAGGTTCAGGAGGAGAAAGAGGAGGAGTTTATGAGAGTGGAAAATGAGACTCTGCTGCCACACCACCTGTTGGGCTTGAGACCTAAGCTTTTAGACAAAACTTGGTGGCTTAGTCTTTTCATTTTCCAGGTAAGCGTAATTATTTTCAGCCTTGATTTCCTGATAGGAATCTCAATTGTCCCTCTGCTCAAGAGCGTGTATTTATTACATTATAGTACTCCTTAGCAGACATTTCTCCATTCCAGTAGGGCACTGTTAAATCACTCTATATCTTGACTGATGTTTTCATGTACGTTTTAAGTGTAAATGTTTTTCAGTGTTCCATAACTTGAATACTGAGATTAACATTTTAATTTCATTAACTAGAATTGTTATGAAATCATAAGCGTGAAGGTGTTTTGG